CAAGCAGGCGTGTCCATACTCATATCAAATAAAATAGATTTCAAGCCAAAGTTAATCAAAAGAGATAAAGAGGGACACTACATACTGCTTAAGGGAACCATACACCAACAAGACATAACAATCATAAATATTTATGCCCCAAACAATGGTGCAGCTATGTTCGTCAAACAAACTCTTCTCAAGTTCAAGAGTCTAATAGACCACCACACCATAATCATGGGAGACTTCAACACACCTCTCTCGCCACTGGACAGATCTTCCAAACAAAAGTTGAATAAGGAAACTATAGAACTCAATAACACTATTAATAACCTAGACCTAATTGACATATATAGAGTATACCACCCAACATCAAGCAGTTACACTTTTTTCTCAGCAGCACATGGATCCTTCTCAAAAATAGATCATATATTATGTCACAGGGCAACTCTTAGACAATATAAAGGAGTAGAGATATTACCATGCATCTTATCTGATCATAATGGAATGAAACTGAAAATCAACGATAAAAGAAGGAAGGAAAAAGCATACATCAATTGGAGAATGAACAATAGGTTACTGAATGATCAATGGGTTATAGAAGACATCAAGGAGGAAATTAAAAAATTCTTAGAGATAAATGAAAACACAGACACAACATATCGGAATCTATGGGACACATTGAAAGCAGTTCTAAGAGGAAAATTCATTGCTTGGAGTTCATTCCTTAAAAAAAGAAAAAACCAACAAATAAATGATCTCATACTTCATCTCAAAATCCTTGAAAAAGAAGAGCAAAACAACAGCAAAAGAAGTAGAAGGCAAGAAATAATTAAAATCAGAGCTGAAATTAACGAAATCGAAACAAAAGAAACAATTGAAAAAATTGACAAAACTAAAAGTTGGTTCTTTGAAAAAATAAACAAAATCGACAGACCCTTAGCGATGCTAGTGAAGAGAAGAAGAGAGAGAACTCAAATTACTAGCATACGGGATGAAAAAGGCAATATCACAACAGACACTTCAGAAATACAGAAGATAATCAAAAACTATTTTGAATCCTTATACTCCAATAAATTAGAAGATAGTGAAGGCATAGATAAATTTCTTAAGTCATATTATCTGCCCAGATTGAGTCAGGAGGATATAGAAAACCTAAACAGACCAATATCAATTGAGGAGATAGAAGAAACCATCAAAAGACTACCAACTAAGAAAAGCCCAGGTCCCGATGGGTATACAGCAGAATTTTACAAAACCTTTAAAGAAGAACTAATACCAATACTTTTCAAGCTACTTCAGGAAATAGAAAAGGAGGGAGAACTTCCAAATTCATTCTATGAGGCCAACATCACCCTGATACCTAAACCAGACAAAGACACTTCAAAGAAAGAAAACTACAGACCAATATCTCTAATGAACCTAGATGCAAAAATCCTCAATAAAATTCTGGCGAATCGGATACAAAAACATATCAAAAAAATTGTACACCATGATCAAGTAGGATTCATCCCTGGGATGCAAGGCTGGTTCAATATACGGAAATCAATAAATGTTATTCACCACATCAATAGACTTAAAAATAAGAACCATATGATCATCTCGATAGATGCGGAAAAAGCATTCGACAAAGTACAGCATCCCTTTATGTTCAAAACTCTAGAAAAACTAGGGATAACAGGAACATACCTCAATATTGTAAAAGCAATCTATGCTAAGCCTCAGGCTAGCATTATTCTGAATGGAGAAAAACTGAAGGCATTCCCTCTAAAATCTGGAACAAGACAGGGATGCCCTCTCTCTCCACTTCTCTTCAACATAGTTCTCGAAACACTGGCCAGAGCAATTAGACAGACGAAAGAAATTAAAGGCATAAAAATAGGAAAAGAAGAAATTAAATTATCACTATTTGCAGATGATATGATTCTATATCTAGCAGACCCAAAAGGCTCTACAAAGAAACTATTAGAGCTAATAAATGAATTCAGCAAAGTGGCAGGATTTAAAATCAACACGCATAAATCAAAGGCATTCCTGTATATCAGCGACAAATCCTCTGAAATGGAAATGAGGACAACCACTCCATTCAAAATATCTTCAAAAAAAATAAAATACTTGGGAATCAACCTAACAAAAGAGGTGAAAGACTTATACAATGAAAACTACAGAACCCTAAAGAGAGAAATAGAAGAAGATCTTAGAAGATGGAAAAATATACCCTGTTCATGGATAGGCAGAACTAACATCATCAAAATGGCGATATTACCAAAAGTTCTCTATAGGTTTAATGCAATGCCAATCAAAATCCCAATGGCATTTCTTGTAGAAATAGAGAAAGCAATCATGAAATTCATATGGAAAAATAAAAGACCCAGAATAGCAAAAACAATGCTAAGCAAGAAGTGTGAATCAGGCGGTATAGCGATACCAGACTTCAAACTATACTACAGAGCAATAGTAACAAAAACAGCATGGTACTGGTACCAAAACAGGCGGGTGGACCAATGGTACAGAATAGAGGACACAGAAACCAATCCACAAAACTACAACTATCTTATATTTGATAAAGGGGCTAAAAGCATGCAATGGAGGAAGGATAGCATCTTCAACAAATGGTGCTGGGAAAACTGGAAATCCATATGCAACAAAATGAAACTGAATCCCTTTCTCTCGCCATGCACAAAAGTGAATTCAAAATGGATCAAGGAACTTGATATCAAATCAGAGACGCGCCGTCTGATAGAAGAAAAAGTTGGCTACGATCTACAGTCGGTGGGGTCGGGCTCCAAATTCCTCAATAGGACACCCATAGCACAAAAGTTAATAACTAGAATCAACAAATGGGACTTACTCAAACTAAGAAGTTTTTTCTCAGCAAAAGAAACAATAAGAGAGGTAAATAGGGAGCCTACATCCTGGGAACAAATCTTTACTCCTCACACTTCAGATAGAGCCCTAATATCCAGAGTATACAAAGAACTCAAAAAATTAGACAATAAGAGAACAAACAACCCAATCAACAAATGGGCCAAGGACCTGAACAGACACTTCTCAGAGGAGGACATACAGTCAATCAACAAGTACATGAAAAAATGCTCAACATCTCTAGCTGTCAGAGAAATGCAAATCAAAACCACCCTAAGATACCATCTCACTCCAGTAAGATTGGCAGCCATTAGGAAGTCAAACAACAACAAGTGCTGGCGAGGATGTGGGGAAAAGGGTACACTTGTACATTGCTGGTGGGACTGCAGATTGGTGCAGCCAATTTGGAAAGCAGTATGGAGATTTCTTGGAAAGCTGGGAATGGAGCCACCATTTGACCCAGCTATTCCCCTTCTTGGTCTATTCCCTAAAGACCTAAAAAGAGCATGCTACAGGGACACTGCTACATCGATGTTCATAGCAGCACAGTTCACAATAGCAAGACTGTGGAACCAACCTAGATGCCCTTCAATAGACGAATGGATAAAAAAAATGTGGCATTTATACACAATGGAGTATTACTCTGCATTAAAAAATGACAAAATCATAGAATTTACAGGGAAATGGATGGCATTAGAGCAGATTATGCTAAGTGAAGCTAGCCAATCCCTAAAAAACAAATGCCAAATGTCTTCTTTGATATAAGGAAAGTAACTAAGAACAGAGTAGGGACGAAGAACAGGAGAAGAAGATTAACATTTAACAGGGATGAGAGGTGGGAGGGAAAGGGAGAGAGAAGGTAAATTGCACGGTAATGGAAGGAGACCCTCAGGGTTATACAGTGGAGGGGGTAGAGAGAGAGGAGGGGAGGGGAGGGGAGAGGTGGGGAGGGGGGAGGGTGGATGATGGGAAAGGCAGCGGAGCACAACAGACACTAGTATGGCAATTTGTAAATCAATGGATGTGTAACTGATGTGAATCTGCAATCTGTGTATGGGGTGAAGGTGGGAGTTCATAACCCACTAGAATCAAAGTGTGGAATATGATATGTCAAGAAATTTGTAATGTTTTGAACAACCCACAATAAAAAATTAAAAAAAAAAAAAAAAAAAAAAAAATGATGGCTAACATCAAGTGTCTTATATAAAATGGAAAAATATTTGCATATCACATATGTACATCTTCCTATATAATTTAAATCATGTCTAAATGACTTATAATACCTATCACAGGGTAAATTCCATGTAAATAGTTGTTATCCTGTATCGCTTAAGGAACAATGACGAGAAGAAAATGTATGTACAAGTTCAGGACAGACACAATTTGTTCCCAATTTTTTTAAATCTGTGAGTGGCTGAATCTGTAGATGCAGAGCTTGTGTAGACAGAGGGCCAACTATGTGTGTGCATGTGTGTGTATGTGTATGCACAGGCACATATGAGTGAAATGCACATATTCTAGACAAATCAGCAAAGCTTTTGACTTAGTTAGACTGGGTAGGACCCAGGCAGATAAATATTGAAGTTCTTCAGATAGTTTTTAGTATGATTGAAATCTACAGTTCTAAACTTAAGGAAGTCTCTAAGAAAAGGTATTAGAATGGATAAGAAAATTCATTAAGTGTGAAATAAAAGATCTATATGATTCAAGCTTACCTGAGGACATCTCTGTCTCCCTTAGAGACCAACTTTCAGATTCTCCTTTCTGTGTCTCACCCTGGGCTAGTGGCCAGAGTAGGTGGTGGTGTGTGTGTGTGTGTGTGTGTGTGGGGGGGGGTCCTGGCAAGGAATAATATGTTGAGATGGGCTTTATGATTTCATATGTCTTGGCTGGGGGAGGGACAAGGAAGGATTTCTTGATTACTTTAAAAGTTGGACTGTCTTCATTCAGAAACTTGGGTTGTTGACATAACTGTCATTTTCCTAACCTGGCTGAGCATTTTTTGGTCTATAAAGGCGTTTGAGAAAGTACTGCATGGATTCCTGTTCCCTAACATCTTATTGTCCATCTTCCCTTACAAATCAGTCCTCACTCTACAAAGGCTTTAAAGATGCCTGGGATTGTCACACACCTCTGGCTTGCATTTCCCCTTTTAGGAAGGAGTTCCTGCAGCAGAGGCGGGCAGCTGTGACCCTCCAGGCAGAGTGGCGAGGCTACTGCAGCAGGAAGAATTTCAAGCTGGTGAGAAAGCTCAGGAGGTTGGGCAGTCAGGAGCAGTAGATCACTAACTGTCCAATAAAAGGCAAAATTTAGAAGTTTGTTTCTCTGCATGAGAGATCTCAAACAGGAAGTGTCCCATCCCTAACAGACATGGAGTATAGATTTAGAACAACCAGACATCAGCACCCCCAGGCTCTCCTTGTAGCATAGTCACAAGCCCCATGTTTGTGGGCTTCACAATATTTTCCTATAGAATGTCGGGCATCCCCTGAGCTGGTCTGAGGCATTCTGTTCTGAATTGAGATAGCAACTATCTTTTTCCCAGCTTTCAAGCAACAAAATAAGGAAATGGATTGATTATTCCGTTTCAAGTACTCCTTATTTTTCTCCTAACCACAGGCACTTGCTAATGAGTATCTGCTCAATCTATGAAGTAGAGTGGCTATGCCCATGCCCTGTTGAACCTCTCTGGATCACTTGTTTTTGTCATGGCCATAACTGTGGTTGTGACATAAAATGATCCCATCAGCAAAACTGGCCTCAGGCCTGCCTGCATTTGATGTTCACAAAGAGTATGATGGTAGCTGATATGCATGGAAAGGCCACTTGGGACCTGTTGCTTTACATTCAACTTTTCATTTAATATTGGACCAACTCTATAAATCAAGGGCCTGAGACATGGAGGAGTTAAGTATATTCCCCAAGAGCATGCAGTTAGCAAGCTGGTTTTTCGAATGTGAATCTGTGTAATTTCCAAGCCCTTGAGCTGATTCATCTTTAGAAGCTCATCCCAGGGGCTCAGGGACTGCTGTGGCCGAGGGAATTTTTGCAGCATAAAAGTAGGTGTTTATTCATATCTTACTTTCTTTCTATTTTAAAGACTCCCTGGGGGATTAGCTTGGTGAAGCCAGTCACAGGCCTATACAAGTGTGTTAGCCTACATCCAGTAAGGTGGCTGGACTTGGCTGGCAGGTATGAATGAAAATCAAGACTCTGGATTCTAATTGCCCTTGTGAAATCCATGCCAACTCCATCTATGGCCCCCAAGAGGCCACTTAATTATTTATGCTATTTAGCAAATGCTTGTTTAGCACTTACTTGCATGGCAGGCTCTCTTCTAAATACTTAACAAATAAAACACTCACTTCGTAGGCTCATTCTCATTGGTGTGTATAAGTTTCACACCAGCCCTATAACAAAAAGCAGGTGACTACAAAGCAAACTTGCAAGGTCTGGGCAATGCTGCTGTCTGTTTCCTCCTTGGGGCCTTCTGGTTTTGAACCCTCCTCTCTCTTGCCTCCACAGATCCTGGTGGGCTTTGAGCGCCTGCAGGCCATTGCCCGAAGCCACCTGCTGATGAGGCAGTTCCAGGCCACGCGGCAGAGGATGGTGCAGCTGCAGGCCCGCTGCAGGGGCTACCTGGTGCGCCAGCAAATTCAGGCCAAGAGGAGAGCTATAGTAACCATTCAGGCACATGCCAGGGGCATGGCTGCCCGGCGGAGCTTCCAGAGGCGGAAAGCCAAGGTAGGTGGTCACCCAGCATCTTGGACAGGTGGCACTGGCTACGGTCCACGTGTTTGAGGGCAAATGGGAAAAATGGATGGCAACATAGAGCTCTCACCAGAAGCTCCTTTGGAAAGTCTTCACTCTCAAGTCAAGATGTTTAAATCTGTTCTAATTATTCGAGAACTCAGCAAGAATACAAGAAGCAAATTAGGAGGCATCTTCTGGGTTGCAATTTAGAAAGGACAAGAGACATCCCTTTCTTCTCCTTGTCCAAAGTTAAAGCAGCAGGGTTCTTCACATCTTCTGGGAAGACTCAATCAGGGGCTCACAATAACGGGGGATAGGCATCAGATCAACCAGATGATGACCTTATTCCTAGAACCTGGAAGTGAAGCTCCTTGGTCTCTTCCCTTTAGCCTTGGGGACCTTTCTTTACAGGTGATAATTTCCCTAAAAGACATGGGAAACCTGAGCCAGATGAGCTGTGGAAGGGTCACTGTTCAAAGATCCCTGGTAATAGGAGCGTGCATGACAGTTCAGGGGACAGAGAAACACCAAGGGGGGCTGTTGAGTTTCTAGAAGGCTTGAAGAAAAAGGACCCGCAGAGCAGCTCCAAGATGCACGCCCCTGCCTTTTGAAATCTCGCCCTTGCGTAACCCTCTTTCTTCCATAGGGTACCTAAGACTCAGCCTCATTCCTTCTTGCTTGGTTCTTTTTGTGATAAAGCAGAGTGGATTGGATGACATTTCCTTTTGCCCTCCGATGGAAATTGGGTCTGCTGTACAAACTACCATTACAATAAACAGGGCACGTGAAAGAAGAGACCCTCAGACAAGTCACGAGCATGCTCCTGAGCTTGAGTGTCCCTGGCCTGGGTGTAAAAACACTCTGACCCTGGGGACCTCCCTGGTAGACTCTTGATGCCCTTTGAATGAGGGGACCCCCCCCCATGGGCCTGAGTAGTGGTTTTGCTGCTGATATTTGGACTCCCTGGAGTTTCAGGTGGTACCTTGGAGGTCAAGCCAGCAACTGTAAATCCCTAGACCTCTGATTATCATTGGGAAGTGAAAAGCTCTGGTTGGTTGATCTCCACTTACCCTAACTATGAAAATTTGTTATTTGGGGGCAAAATATATTGATTTGGATGAATAACTGCATGACAAATTTTACTTGGCTTCTAAAAGTTACTTGGCCTATGAGGGCAGGCAGAATTGAGTCCCCTGAGCCCAACTGGGCCTGCAAGTCACCTTCTCCCCAATGCTTGTGTATGCAGGGACCTCTGGTCATCCCGGTCAAAGAGCAGAAGAGTGAAAATCAAAATGTTCTCCCTTCCAAGAAGCGCAAGTCCATCTATGATACTGTCACTGACACAGAAATGGTGGAGAAGGTGTTTGGCTTCCTTCCATCCATGATTGGGGGCCAGGAAGGCCAGGCCCCAACTGGTTTTGAGGTAAGACAACCCCAGAGGGAAATGGGAGAAACTGCCCAGCCCCTGACCTCAATCAACCCCTTGGCTTCTTTGAAGAAGCTGCCAGGGTGGGTGGCCAAGGAAGTTCTGCAGCCCTGGGTGATTGTGCAGAAAAGGGGAACCAGCATGCATTTCTGTGGTCAACCCTTTGGAGCTAGGCAGCTTTCTCCCCTACAAGACATCCTGGAGCCTCTTCTGTGTAAATGAATGCTAGGGAGCTTTCAATCAGGCAGCACCTCCCACCTATATGTGGAGCCTGGAGGCTGTTGCTTTGCAGAATATAACTGGGAAGCTGAAATGCAGAGAGGACTAACCCTGAAACAGGAGGATGTGAGGTCTGAGGCTGGTGGTGGTGGGGATATGGAAGAGGGTAGGAAGGGCAGTGTCCCAGGGCTGTCCTATAGACCCTCACTATACCCTGCTCTGGGTCCCAAGACCCAGTGACCTAGGTACTTTCCCTCCGTTGGTATTCAAAATCTCAGCCCTCCTCCTGTACCTTCACTCTGTGTAGTCAGGGGTGGGGTGGGAGCTGGGATCACCTCCTCAGGGGAAGCCCTGTCCCTGTCCTATTGGGCCTGAGGGAGGTATGGAGGAGGGCTGGAAGTAGAAGTATAGAGGTCCTGTGTCTGCAGAGCAGGATGCTCAAGGTCATGCATATGATGGCCTACTATATCAGTGAAGATCTCAGACACTAGGGGGCTGGGTAAGTGGGCAAGAAAATGTCAACCAAGTCACAGAGCCTGGTGGGGCCAGGCCAGCATGGAAAACGGCCTAGGAGCATGGATTCCTCTGGATGGACAGAGGCATTCTTCAATCCAAGAATGCCCACTATCATCACCACTATTAAACATTGTATTGGAGGAACTAAACAATGCAATAGGACAAGAAAAATAAATAACAGATACAGATCAGGAAGGAATAACACTCTCATCTGCAGAATAATGTGCTTGTCTTAGAAAAATCTCAAAGAAGCTAGAGACAAATTACACAAATTAGAGTTCAGTAAGGTTACTAAACCTTACTAAAGGTTATATTGATCTTATATAATCTTAGGTAACCTTACTGGATATAACTTTACTGGCAGATAGCAAGATGGACCTCTCTAAAGCTCCCTATCCCCTAGCACTGCTCATCCCACTGGGTAACTAGTCAACAGCTTGGTTGTTATCTAAAATGATCCATCTTTCCTCACTGGCCCCAGGATCTGGAAGTGAAGACCCAGAATAAATTACCCGAGATTGACCTGGATACAGTCCCCATGTTGAAAGAGCCAGAGGAGGATGTGGATGGCCTGGCTGAGTACACCTTTCCCAAGTTTGCTGTGACGTACTTCCAGAAATCAGCCACCCACACACACATCCAGGGGCCCCTACGATACCCACTACTCTACCATGAGGATGACACAGACTACTCGGTAACCATGGTTCTCTGGTTTCTGGTGGCTCATACCACTCTCAGACCCCAGAGTTTGAGTTGTGGTTCTGAGGGAATAAGGAAGGGGCCTGGGATACTGTGGGCCCCAGTACTGAGACTGAGTTCCAACCCAACCCTCTGTTTTGCTCCCCCAGGCTGCCCTGGCCATGTGGAACATCATACTGAGGTTCATGGGTGACCTTCCAGAGCCAGTGCTGTATGCCAAGAACAGTCTGAGTGGCAGCCCAGTAATGCAGCAGATCCACAACACACTGGACAAGGAGAACGGACCCAGGGGACCACAGCATGGATCTGCACAGGTGCATGGTGTGAGGATGGTAGGCAGGTATCCACCAGGTCTCAGGCCTCAGAAAGCTGGACCTGGAGCCCCCTCAGCAACATCAATCATGAGCCCAGTCCCCAAGCACCCAGGTGTTTTCAGTTTTGAATTGTACTCAAGAACTTGTGAACTGAGGATCACTCCCTATTTGAATCACACAATCTTTAGTGGAGAGGGCCCCCTGGACTCTGAATATCAGTTTGACTTGAGCCTAACCCAAATGCGCACAACAATAATAATAACAAGAAATGTTATTAATAACCTGCTGTGTGCCAGTGGCTTCTCTTAATTTAATTTTCAGTTGGGCTAACCCTACAAGGTAGGGATCCTTATGTTTATTTCAAGCTAAAGAAATAGAAGTAAAATAACTTTCCACAAAAATCACAGTGAACACATGTGTGGGAGCTTACTTTGAAACCATTCTGCTGAATTTAGAGACCAACCTCTTGACCCATGTTCTATCCTTCCCTGTTAATTCTCATCTATTTTTGGTCAGACATCCTTTCTAAGGCCCAGTTTCACAAGGTAACTTAGTGGAACCAAGAACAGTCCAAAGGAATTAAACAGCAATAACAGCACTTGGGAGTTCACCAGCCATAGGAATCCAAGAGTCCCCCATATGCCAGATGACTGATACCTGGGAGGGCCCACATACAGACTAACTGCATAGAAATCTAAGGGATTCTGCAGCCCCAACTGCATAGCCAAACCATCCCAGGCTCAAGCCCTAACTCCCTGACCTCTGGAGACATAAGTTCTACAGAGCATATTAGATATCTAATGCTGTGTAACAAATCACCCCAAAACATAGCAGCTTAAAACAGTACCTATTTATTATTTCACACTATTTCTGAGGGTCAGGAGAAGCTTACCTGGTCATTTCTGACTCAGAGTCTCTCATGAGGTTGCCATCAAGCTGTCAAGATGGGCTGGAGTCATCTGAAAGCTTGACTGGGGTTGAAGAGTCCATTCCCAAGATGTTGCACTCACATGACTCTTGGCAGGATGCTTCAGTTCCATGCCATGTGGGCCTCTCCACAGACCTACCTGAGCATCCTTACAATATGGCTTCCCCCAAGATGAGTAATTCAAGAAGGAAAGCAAGAAGATGCAATGTCTGATCTTCGAATTCCTATACCTTGTGGGGTGGGGAGGAACACAGGGCAGGAATGCTGAGGGGTAGTAATAATTGGAATTCACCTGGGAAGCTGATGAACCCTCAAGGAAAGGACTCTTTAGAGGCAGTCGAGCCTTGTTGCTCTTCTGAAGGGTGGACACAGAGGGACACAGATCTGATTTCCCAGAGGTTAGAGCTCAGGTTTTCCTTTCCGCATGTGTTCATTTAATACCTGCATTGTGGGCCACTCACAGAGTGGGGCCAAACAAGCTCTGCCTGCCCTCACAGAGCTTTTAACCCATGTATTTCACATTCATTTCCTGTGCCAAACCCCAGCTTTACCCCAGCTGGAGATGGTGCCCAGTCCTGGAGCTGGGCTGATCCCGACCCAAGCTGACTCCTACTATTAGCTTTCATGATGCCATCATGACAAGCTGCAGACCCTGCCTAAGGAGACCAAAAAAAAACTTAAAGGCTGGGGGCAAATCCTTCCCCATCAATTTTATGAATTGGCCAGGAAATGGCTGAGGGGGACACTTGTCCACTGTAAATGGCTGTAGGATTAGCAGCACCAAGGGACTGCTCAAGTGTGCACTCCTCTGGTAACTTTTTCCACAGAAACTGAGCCAAAAGGACAGAGGAACCAAAGGCATCTCCTCCATGAAGTTGAAGCGGTCCTCCAGGATCACGGGCCAGGTAAGCCCAGGGCCAGGGGACTCAGTCCTCTCCCAGCTCTGCCACCAGCCTGCCGCAGGGTTCCCAAGCTATGGCTTCCATCCTCGCATGTTGGTTTCCTCCTTGGCAAATGGGGAGAATCACAGCTATCCTAATGGCCATCTTTGGGCTTCAAGGTGGCCAGCCAGTTGAACATCGGAGAGGAGCCATTTGACCTTGATGGCCCCATCTCAGAACGACCCATGTCCAACCTGGAGAAGGTGCACTTCATTGTGGGCTATGCCATTCTGCGACCTGGCCTCAGGTCAGTCCCCACTCCCACCTCAACCCTGTTCAGAGCATCAGGTCCCCTCACTGGTCCTCAAACCATGGTCACAGCCTCATCCTCTGCCCCCAAATAACTGCTTCTCTCCTTGCTCCCTGGCCTAGGGCCTGCAGGCTGGCTCTCAAAGCAGCAGATGTTACAGCCACTGAGGGTTCTCTACTTGTTCATTAAGAAAACCAAGGAACAAACCTCGTTTTAGGAAAACAGATTAATCATGAGCTGTGGATTCATTTTAGAACAGACTTTAATGCAGGATGCTGTGTGTGTGTGTGTGTATTTATGCAAATTTACTTCATATGCAATTTGCTTTATAGGAATTAGGTTTTCATATAAATATGTATACTGATTTAAGGAATTGTATTTTAGAGGTTTGCTTACCTTAAGTTATTATTTTTAACCAAATTTGAGGAAATTTAACCTTAATTTCTTCAAAAATTTCCTTTCTCTTTTCCTTCCTCTCTTCTCCTCTCCTTTCCCTTACCCACATCAAATTCTAATTAAACTTATATAAGGCTTTTTGCTACTGTCCCTCAAGTTCCTGAGGATCTTTTTGTATTTTCCTTCTTTCTTCTTTTCTCTCTGTTCTTTAGATTGGGCAATTTCTGTTGATTATCTCTAAATTCACTGATCTCTGTCTTCTCCAATTCACCATTAAACCATTCAAGAGGTTTTTTACTTCGAGTGTTCTATTTTAAGTTATATTATATTATTATAGTTTTCTTGATTTTTTCAAAACATTTTTAGTTGTAGTTGAACACAATACCTTTATTTTATTTATTTATTTTTATGTGGTGCTGAGGATCCAACCCAGCACCTTGCATGTGCTAGGCAAGTACTCTACCGCTGAGCCACAACCCCAGCCCTTATTATTTTTTACATTCCTATTTCTTTACCAAGGTTTCCTATCTGTTCATTCATGATGAGTGTAGTTTCTTTCACATCATTGAGAATAGTTACCAGAGTTTTTAAGCCTTTTCTGAAAATGTAACATGGAGTTCATATTTGAGTCTGTGTCCATTGCCATTCTTTTTCTCTTGATGATGGTCATGTTTTCCTGTTTCCCCTTCAGTTTAGTACTGGATGATACATTTAGAGACTGAATTCTGTTATATTCTTTCAAAGAGTGTTGATTTTTTTTTGTTTTGGCAGCAGTTAATTTGGCTGGATTGAAATTGTGAGCAGCAGATGAAATCCTTGTTAAGTTATTTTAGCCTCAGCTAGCCTGCTAGGACATACTCCACCATTCCTGAGAAGGTGTCAGCCAGCAGTTTAGAAAAACTTTATATACAAAATTGAGATTCTCCTTCTGTGGTTTTCTTCATTCCAGGATTTACTTTCTCACTCTCAAGTTTCTATGGGGACCCCAAACTCTGTTCTCTGATTCTTCAAGCCAGTAAGACTATAGATAACCTCTACCCATGTTTTAGCTATCTGCATTGACACCATCGACCAGAAAACTCTTCTAATTAGTTGGTTCTGTTGGTAGTTGCCCCTTGATAATCCTTAACAGTCACCATACCTTCCAATATGGCAGACATATAAAAGCTATGTCCAAATGGGTGCATGACGGGTTATTCAGGTAACTCCTACAGATGGACCCATGCAATCCTGATATCCACCTTGTGCTGAAACCTTGCTAATTCTTTAAGGGTTCCTGTTGACTCTAGCTGCAGGTAGAACATCCCACAGTCATTTACTACTAGGAATTTCTGGAATAGTGAGCTGCCTAAAGTTCAGCTCATGGCATCTTCCTGGTCAACAGGAAGTTCATGCATGCCCCGCCAAATAATATAGATGCAATTCCCAGTCCCTGACTATTCTTTCTTCACCTTGCCAATCGAGATGGGCTCAGATCTCCTGAAGGAAGCAGACTTTAGTCTCTTTGTTCACAGAGGTCCTCAACTTGAAGGAAGCAAGTCAAAATCTAGCAAGAATTTTTTTTTAAGAGAGAGAGAGAGAGAGAATTTTTTAAAATTTATTTTTCAGTTTTCGGTGGACACAACATCTTTATTTTATTTTTATGTGGTGCTGAGGATTGAACCCAGCACCGCGTGCATGCCAGGCAAGCACGTTACCGCTTGAGCCATATCCCCAGACCTAGCAAGAATTTTTTCACTGTGCTCCATTACAATGCACTAGGGGTGGGCAATGAGTTTCTGAAGCTCTGCCTCAGATGGGAAGTGGGATAGGTCTCATCTCTGAAAAACAGCTCCATCCCTACTGATCGTTCTTCTGGAGTCTCCCTCACTCTCATCACTTGTAAGTAGTGGAAATGAGCCATAGATCTGTCTCCTCCATGAAGTGCCTTCTGAAGTCACCTTTCAAATTTCTCACCTTCCCTTATATAGGCTGGAGATGGCATGCTAGACTGGTTCTGCCATCTTTTAGCAAATTCTACAAGATTGTCTCTAGAATGTTGGATATTAACATCCATTTGTCCTTGGCTCTGGCGTTATAACCAAATTCTAAGACAAAGCAAATGCTGCATTCCATATCTATCATGCATTCAATATATACTTATTGAGTTCCTGGTGGGGCCTTTGCCTGAGGGTTAGGGATCAGAGATGAAGAAAGCACATCTCTATCCTTGAAGAATTTACCCTTTATTTGGTGAGTGTGTCAGTCAGTTTTCCATTACTGTAACAAAATACCTGAGATAACCAACTCATAAGGGAGAAACATTTATTTTGGCTCATGATTTCTGAAGTTTCTGAAATCACTTGACCCTGTCATTTGGGGTCAATGGTGAGGCAGAGCACTTGGTGGAGAGAGGTGCTCATCCCATGGCAGCCAAAAAGCAAAAAGAGAGGAAGGATTGAAAGTCCCCAAATCCCTTTCAAGAGCACACCCCCAATGACCTCACTTCCTCCCACTAGGCACCATCTCTTAAAGGGCCCCCATCTCTCGATAGCACCACAGGCTGGTAACCAAGCTTCAACACATTGGCCTTTGGAGGGCATTTATCTAAACCATGGCAGAGAGCATGAGAGAACCAGGAAACCCACCATGAGAGTATATGCTCAAAAGTGGGTAGGCTCACATCCAGTGAGGATACCAAGAAAAAGTGCTCTTAATGCCCCGCTGGGCCAGGCTAAGTGCAAAGGAGATAAGGCCTCCGGGTAGAAGGAGAAATTAATGTCTGAAATAACTGAAGCTGGGGGAAAGGAGCCGATCGGGTTATACAAGAAGCAGGGCAGAGGAGGCTGAGAGCAGTCATGCAGGGGTAAAGCAGAAGGGGTAAGTCAGAGCAAAGGCCTGAGGGGCAAGGGGTCTGGGAGGGAGGGCTGAGAACTGGGGCCTCGATAAACCAGGCAGAGGGGTCTGAAGGGAGTGGGACAGGGGAAAACATCAGTGGGAGGGAGGCCTCCAGTGCTGGAGGGGTGCCCTGAACAGGAGACCTCACCCAGAGGTGCAGAGAGACCCTGTGCCCAGGCTCCTGTCTCTCCCCTCCCCCCAAACAAATACCCAGCCTGCCCTCCCAGTGTCTGTGTCTTTCAGGGATGAGATTTACTGCCAGATCTGCAAACAGCTCTCGGGAAACTCCAGGAAGAGCAGCACGGCCCGGGGCTGGATCCTGCTCAGCCTCTGTCTGGGCTGCTTCCCACCCTCAGAGAGGTTCATGAAGGTGCGGAGGGCCAAGGGCAGGGTTGGGGAGGCAGAGGGCAGGTTACAGCAGCAGCATAAGTAGGCTCTGGGCCAGGGTTTCCCGAACCCTCAGGCAATGGGCAGCTCTCCTCTGGTCCTCCGTCTCCTTGTCTATACCAGAAGGCACTCACTGGTATAGACCTGGCTCCTTCCCATCCCTATCCAGGCTCGGCAAGGCCATTGCCCCGTGGCTCAGGCACCAGGACGACTCAACTTCCAGACAGTTGTCCAGGGAGTGAGCCCCTACCTGATACTGGCCACAGTACCTGCTTCTACTCCTTAGAATTGAACGTGGATGTTGGTTGGCAGAAGCCTGCAGATAGAGGCCCCAGACTTCACTGTCTCCATAAACCTTTTGGTTCTGAGATAAAAATAATATGTGGAATACAGGCAATCAGAACTGAAAATAAAGTCATTCTCACACCCAGAGGTGGGGGGGTACCGAGGATTTGAACTCAGGGACATTCGACCACTGAGCCACATCCCCAGCCCTATTTTGTATTTTATTTAGAGACAGGGTCTCGCTGAGTTGACTAATGCCTTGCCGTTGCTAAGGCTGGCTTTGAACTTGCAATCCTCCTGCCTCAGCCTCCTGAGCCACTGGATTACAGGCATGTGCCACCCCACCTGGCTTCCATTAGTATTTTCTTTGGGCCTCTGTGGTGTTATAGTGTCATACTTACAGTCAAATGGAAAACACTCACTCTGTGTCCCTGTGGGGACATCAGGAACCATGTTCACCCTGGGCATTGGTTCTGAGCACTTAAGCCACTGTGATACCAGTAACCCCTTTCAGGTAGTATTTCCCCACTCACCTCCATGGAACAAAAAGATTTTCAACATTTTTTTTGTGTGTGTGTGTGTGTGTTTGTGGTGCTGGGGTTTGAGCCCAGGGGCTTATGCATGCAAGGCAAGCACTGTACCAACCGAGCTATATCCTCAGCCCTCCACACAGTTTTGTTTTTGTTGTTGTTGTTGTCAAGCGCATTTTGGACGTAGACTCTCCTACATTTTTCTTTTAATTTTCTCCACTATTTTTTTCTGCTGATGTAAACTGCCAAACTGCTCCTCAGGTATCTATCCATTTCTATTCCTCTTCATGATGAATGGAGAGTGCCCATCTGAACACATCTTTCTAAACTGAGGATGATAATTTTAAAAATCTGTAGAAAGTCAACATTGAGCTGCCTTCTGAATGTCTCCTCTCTTCTCCCTTCTTCACCCCCCAGTATCTGCTGAACTTCATTGGTCAAGGGCCAGCAGGCTATGGACCCTTCTGTGCTGAGCGCCTGCGGCGTACCTATGCCAATGGGGTGCGGGCAGAACCTCCCACGTGGCTGGAGCTTCAGGTAGGGCTGGAAGGGTGGGAGGCGGGCAGTGTAGGGAGGTGCAGCTCCTTTGGTTCCTGCGGCATGGCTGTGGGGTGACTTTGTCCACAGCATTCTTCCATCTCCTCCAGGGCACCTTCATGGTCCCTGTGAACCCCTGTGGAGCTCAGCCTCTGCTAGCATAGCCCAAGCTTCAAAGCTGCTCTCAGCCTCTCTAAATCCATAGTCTTTTTAAAAATGGTGCATTATAATTATATGCAATAGTGGGGTTCATTGTGACACATCCATTCATGCACATAACATAACTTAATCGGCTTCATTCCCCTTTCTCTCCCCTCCTTCCTTCCCCTGATCTGCTCTCTTGACTCTGCTGGCCTCCCTTCTATTTTTTTTTTCAATTAGTGCGTTATAATTATACATAAAAATGGGATTCACTGTGTTGTAATCAATCATCCATGGGCATAGCATGGTCTGGCTGATTTCATTCCCAGTACCTCCCCTTTCTCTTCTCTCCTCCCTCCCCATCAATCCCCTTCTACTGTTTTTTCTTCTAATTTCACAAGATCCCTTTTTTATTCCTTTTTCCTCTCTAGCTTCTCCCTATTAGAATATTCGACCCTTGACTTTCTGAGTCTGGTTTATTTCACTTAGCGTGATGTTCTCCAGTCCCATTCATTTACCAGCAGGTGCCATTATTTCATAATACCATTGTGTGTATATAACACATTTCCTTTATCCATTCAACTGCTGACGGGCACCTAGGCTGGTTCTGTAACTTGGCTATTGTAAATTACACGGCTATAAACATTCTCTTTTGGCCTATTAATTGAAGGGGAAAATAAATCTGACACACTCATTAGCATGGCCTTGTAAATGGCTGCTAATTGTTTTGAGTTACTCCTCCCTGGGCATTTGCACTTTCGTGAAAGTCATGGTCATGTCAAGTTATCATCCTTGATGGCATTGCTGTTGGGAGCAGGTGCCCCTCTCTACTTGTTTTGGAAGATAGGACACCTATGAATTCTTGAGGTGTCCTCAGAAAGGATCACTCTGGTGAGCCAGGGTGGAGGTGGCATCCCCAGCACCGGCTCTGCCTGCATCTCTGGTCCCAGCCCATGCCTGGAAGGTGCTCACCCATGTGACCCTGCAGTGTCCTATGCTGGGGCCTGTGGGTCACCTCTAGCCATACCTCCTCCCTGTTCTCACCGACCTCCCAAGTCCACAGGGCTCTCTCTCATGCATCCTGGAATTGTAGGTGAACTTGCAGCTGTGAGTTCACAGTGTGGTGCACAGGATCCGAGAACCTGGAAATGTTCTGGAGAGCTCACCTTCTGAATCAGAGTCACTTAACCTTACCAAGCACCGGGTTCTCACCTAGAAGTGGACCATTATGGCCTGCAGGCTGTGCCCACAGGGATACTAAGGCAAAGTTGGAGATGCCCACAAATCACCAGATGTACAGACAACGTTGTTTTTGCCCTTGGCTGGAGCCATGAACCTAAATTTTGTTAACTGCATGCTGAGACATGGCCAACCCTGAAGGTCCTGTCCTCAGGAAGCCACAGCGATGGGCAGGTGGGGACAGTCAGGAGAGAAGGGAGGTGGGGCAAGGTGATGGACTAACCTCCAGTCCAAGGCTCTGGGAGCTCCAGGACAGCTGAGCTCAGGCTCCCCGAGGCGAGAGGGCCTGAGTCCTCTTCTGTCCCCAGGCTGTCAAGTCCAAGAAGCACATCCCCATCCAAGTCATCTTGGTGACTGGGGAGAGCCTGGCCGTCATGGTGGATTCAGCCTCCACATCACGAGAAATCTGCCAGCACATTGCCCAAAAGAAGGGCCTCAGAGACCACCTGGGCTTCTCCCTGCAGGTCGCTGTGTATGACAAGGTAAACACCAGCTGCCCCTCTGCTGCTGGCCTCCCTCCCATACCTGGACCAGAGTGTCCTGAAGCTGGGGTCTTCACACCAACCTGGCTCCTGCCCCTCCTCCCAGCTGCCAGACACACTCACATGGGGGTGCGCACACGCATACACACACACACACACACACACCAGGCAGCCTGACAACAGGCAGCTGTCCTCACTCAGCCCAGCAGCTGCTCACCTTGTCACTCCCCCCGACACTCACAGCAGCCTCCAGCAGCAGACAGGGCCCAGCCCACCTGAACCCCCACAGCCCTCACCCTTAGACTTGGACAAACACCACTTGGCCAACCAACATGCCATGGCACAAATCACACCGGCATCCATCTCTGCTTCCTTTGAGAGGGGCCAGCAGACAGGTGTTTGGGGAACCAATGGACAGGCCCATAGAGAGGTCCTTCTGGTGTCTAAGTGGACTCAGCAGCAGCCACTCAGCCCACACTGGGCCCTGAGAGTCCTGGTCCCTGTCTTCCACATGCTGTGCTGAGGGTGGGTGTCCTTGTGGGGCGAGACACACAGCAGCTGCTAACCTTTACTGCCCCGGATTCTGTCCTCAGTTCTGGTCCCTGGGCAGCGGGCGTGACCACGTGATGGACGCTGTGGCCCAGTGTGAGCAACTGGCCCAGGAGAAGGGCGCCAGCCAGCGCCAGTCACCCTGGCGCATCTACTTCCGGAAGGAATTCTTTACCCCTTGGCACGACTCCCAGGAGGACCCTGTCAGCACCGAGCTCATTTACCGGCAAGTCCTCCACGGAGTCTGGTCTGGCGAGTACAGCTTTGAGAAGGTGAGGGGACCTGAGGAAGAACCCCACTCCAGGGCTGGCCCAGGTTGAAGCCATCAGAAGATCCTCCACAGAGTAGGCCCCCAGCCGGGATCAGAGGCAATGTAGAATGTGGTGGGCAGGAGGCAGAGGGCAGAGGCAGGAAGGTGGTCACAGGAAAGCAACTCCTGGGGCCTCCACTGGATACATCTGTCCCTTCCTGTTCTGGTCTCCATTTCCTCCTCCCTTGGGCCACAGGTTTGCTCATGCATCTGGGGCCTTTAAGCCCCAGGCCTTGCTGACCTCTGGTAACAACTGTTTCTGGAGTAGCAGGACCTGGTGGTCAGGAACATGAACATGACCTTAGAGCTCAGGTAGCTAAGTCCCAGTCTACATCTCTGGGACAGTGTGAACTTGGGGAGTCCTGACACCTCCCCAAGCCTCGGGCCCACATCTGGAATATGCAGAGTGCCAACAGCTCTTTGCATAAGGTAGTTGTGGTGACTGAGGGTGGTGGAGGATGAGGGTGTGACTGAATTATGGGAACAGCAGGTGCAAACCTCCCTGTGCCAAATCCAGAGGACCAGCGGCAGGCACGGAAATCTCACCGTCCTTTCTAGAAGGGTCATGGTCAGGGAACAGCGGGGCCATTTCTATAAGATTTTGGTTTCCCAGATAGAAGAACTACCTGGGTCCCTGCCATGCTGGGCCATGCAAGTGCCTTACACAGGACCTTGACCTGGCTGAGTCTTTGCAGAAGCCCTGAAGGGCAGCCTCCTGTGGCAAGGGAAGACAGGGAAAGGGCCCTGTACCCATTTCTGCCAAGGTCGCTGGGATTACCCGCTGCCAACAGGAGCAGCTGAGGCCCAGCTGGGGCATGGCAGGGGGGCCACAGGGAAGGAGCTGGTCCTGCCTAGAGGACGTGGCAGGACTAGGTGGCTGCTCCCACTCTCTTGTCCCACCTCATCTGCTGGTCAGCTCCACTGTGCTGAGGCAAGAGCTGGTCATGGGGTGGGTGCATCACAGGAGAGGGTGGGCTCACTCGCTTCCCCTCAGCTCCATGTCTGACCCCTGGCTATGCAGGAAGAAGAGCTGGTGGAGCTGCTGGCCCGGCACTGCTACGTGCAGCTTGGTGCTTCCCTGAGAGGTAGAGCTGTCCAGGAGCTGCTGCCCGGCTGTGTCCCCTCCAAGCTGTACAAGACCAGGCCCCCAGAGAAGTGGGCTAGCCTTGTCACTGATGCCCACACCAAGGTCAGCCTGCACCCCGGTGCTCAGTTCTCCTCCAGGGAGGGTGGTGGCAGGGCGGGGGGCGGGGGGGGACTAGGTGTGCCAAGGTAATGGATTTCCTCCCCATGATCCCCAACCCACTGCCAAACAGGAAGTTTAAACCTGAGAGTTTAGTCCAGATGCAATGTTTAAACAGGCTCATGCAGTTCAATGCCTTATCATGGCCCCTGCCACTCACCCTCCTCCTTCCCCATTTTATCTTGGTCTAGACCTGGTCTGTACTGCAGTGCCTGTTTGGGCCCTGGCCTGTTGGCACAAGAGAGCATCCATGGCTGACAGCTGACCATGTCCTTGCCTTAGCAGCAGGCCTGTCCTCAGAGCTCCCCTCTTCCTGCCCCCAGGCACACGAGAACTCCTTGGCCAGAGTGTATGGACATTGTAAATACTGGACATACACATTGCATATGGCCAAGTCACCCTTCAGATATGATGTCCCCATTTATATTCCCAAAGCCAGTATACAAATATTATCCAGCCACTTTTTAAAGTAGCAATAAGAGAAATACCCATTGATCTGACAAACAGTGAAAAGAAAGGTTAGCATGACCTCAGAGCCAGTTATGGGCACAGAGCAGTAAAGATGGGAAGAGAACAGGGTGGGGGGTGGGGAGAGGCATGCTAAAGGAGGAAGGAACTAGAGGAGAAGATAAAGATGGAGGTCCCTGCAAGAGGCCCCCAAATACGCAGAAGTCCAGAAAAGAAAAACAAAAATGCCCAGGACCTGGGTACACAGGAAGGACCCCGCATGAATGAAGCAGGACACAGATCCATAGATAAAACAAGCCCAAGCTGGGGCCCTGGGCACCTGGGCATGCATGCCCCACCTATGCCGAGAGCTGTCTCCACCCAACATGGGCTGTAGCCTCTGGCATCTGACTCTAATGAGGGGAAGGCCTCTTACTTCCCGAGACCACCTCCTGAAGGGTTCTTTCCTAGAGGGTCTAATAGAGTTGGGCCAAGCCTCCACCCCCAGTATCCCTGACCAAGCCCTGGCTTCCTTTAGGTAGAGGTTTTGTAGAATGACCCATCAAATAATCACCTTAGTACTGGGGAGGGATCAGCTAGGGGAGGCACGGAGAATGGAGATAATGCCTGCCATCTCCTACAGGCCCCGTACACCCAGACCCGAGCCACGACGTTGGCTGTGCAGGAGCAGGTGGTGGACACTGCCCTCCTGCAGTGGCCACTCCTCTTCTCCCGGCTCTTTGAAGTCACCACGCTGTCTGGTAACAGTCCCTGATAGGAGGGAGGTGGGTATAGATCGCACACCCTTGGGGCAAGCACGGCCTTCACTCTGCGGTCTCCTCTGGCCAGGTCCCCGCCTCCCCAAGACACAGCTGATCTTGGCTGTTAACTGGAAGGGGCTGTACTTCCTGGATCAGCGGGAGAGGACGCTCCTGGAACTCTCCTTCCCAGAGATCATGGGCCTGGTCACCAACAGGTGGGAGCCCCCAAGGGAAGAGGCCCTGAAATCTCTCCCTTCCCAACCTCAGTCCCTGGGGGCTCTGGAAAGATGGAGGGGGGGGGGGAGGCAATGTGTTGTCCCTGGGATGGATAATGATCAGCATGTCTAGTGGCCATGGATTTGGGAGCCGCCCCCTTATCAGGCCACATTGCTGGTGAAGTCCTCCATCTGTGCTTCTCATACCCACCTGGAAAGGTCATGTAGGCCTGCGCTCTTTCTGGAAAGCTTCACGTGGCAGGCTCCCTCCCTTTCCGTGGGAGAGAACTGGTCACAGAGGACATAGGTCATCTCAGAGAGGAGCAAGGGATGGGGCCTGAGCAGGGTACCGGGCAGTGCTAGGGGCATCCTCCCAACCCCCACCCCATGTCTCCCATCTATGGGAACTCTTCCAAGCCCTTCGGGAAGTCCTGCCCTTGTCCTACCAGAGTACCCCTGGGTTAAAGCACCCCATTATAACTGACCAATGGGCTGCCTCAGGTCACCACTCTCCAAGATTGACCGGGCACTTTCCTGTATGCCTTGAAGTCCTTGCAGCACCACCTGTTCCACCTATTGGGTACACTGAGGCACACAGGGGCTGGGTAGCTCGCCAGGGTCCCCCAGAGCGGGTGGCTCTCTCCAGCACTAACACTCTTGGTGGTGTCCCTGCATACTGGCCACCTGGTGGTCTTCCCAGAGCCGACCCCACACAGCCTCTGAGACCTGAAGGGCCCTGAGCTCTGCCAGTCTGCCAGCCCACAGTGGTTCCTGGAACTTGGGCCACCCTAGGCTCAGACCCCAGCCCTGCCAGTGGCCCTCGGGCAGCCACTGTCTCCTCATCCGTCACCCTGGAGGGTCACCTCTAGGCTGTTGAGGGGCTGAAACGGGGAGAAGTCCTCTGGTCACACTGTCCCCTTCGTCCCCTAGGGAGGCCAAGGGAGGGCAGAGACTGCTGCTCTCCACACTGCACGAAGAGTACGAGTTCGTGTCCCCCAGCTGTGTGGCCATCGCCGAGCTGGTGGCCCTGTTTCTGGAGGGCCTGAAGGAGAGGTCCGTGTTCGCCATGGCCCTGCAGGACAGGAAGGCCACAGGTGCCCACTGGTCGGGGAGGCACAGGGAGGGGCCACTCGGGGGCCAGTGGGGAGGTGGCTCACCCATCTCCATGTCACAGCAGCCACCAGGCACAGAGCAAGGCCTGGGGACACAAACAGAGGGAAGAAGGGAGGGTCCCAACCTTCTCTCAGCCTCTGTTTCCTCTTTCACAAATTGAGGGGGTTCAAGGAGGTGGCTTCCGACCCTCCAAGGCTGCCTTGTGTGCAGAAGCACTGGCCAGGCTGACCCTCTCCTGGCGGCTTTGAACGCCATCCCACAGCCACCTCATTATCCCATTTTACAGACAGAATCAGAAGCTCAGAGAGGGAGGTATCTTGCCCAGGGTCACACAGCTCAGGGAGGTGAGAGTCTAGTTCCCGGCCACAACTTTTCTCTGGCACCCCAGAGAGAGCTGAGCTGTGGCCATGTGAAGGCAGAGGTGGGACAAGGCCCCAGGGACTCTGCCCAGCCCAGACTGGTCAGCCAGGTATTCATAAGCAATACAGTGGTACACATAGTACAGGGGCTTCAGAAGGGGTGGACCTCTGGGATGCAGAGGAAGGGCGGTGCATAGCAGTGAGAAATATCCCAAATGCGTTACCCTGTTGCTCTTTTTGTTCCTGTGTGTGTGTGTGTGTGTGTGTGTGTGTGTGTGACCAGCAGATGATGTCACCCTCCTGCCCTTCAAAAAGGGGGATTTGATAATCCTGACCAAGAAGCAGGCCCTGCTCGCCTCTGAGAGCTGGACCCTGGGCCAGAACGACAGGACTGGCAAGACGGGGCTGGTGCCCACCGCCTGCCTCTACACCATCCCAACGCTTAACAAGCCCTCGTCCCAGCTGCTGGTGGGTCACATGCTCACCTCTGCTCACCTGGGAAGCTGCAGACATGGCTCAGAGATGTCTGCCTGGGGGCCTCGCTCAGTCACCCACACCCTGACAGAGGACCAGGAGGGCCACCTGGGCACCAGGGCAGCTCTGCCAGCCCTTTGAATCCCCAGGGGTGATCATAAAGCTGGCACAATATTTATGCAGAACACAGCCCAGCAGTTGGCACTTAGTAGGTGCTCAATACATGGGCACTCCCTCTCTGTCTCCTACCATGGGTGTGTCCTAGGGACAAACTTGTCCTTCCCCAGCCTCATTTAAATTGTGACCCCAGGGTACCCAAGTCTTCCTCTGCCCCGAAATCCACCCTATCCCAATCCCTAAGAGGAGCCTCACAGGAAGCCAGGAGCAGGCAGGCATTCTAGCATGCATACATTGAGTGCCAATTGTGTGCCTGGTGCTGGCAATACAAGGTTGACCTCAACACCCTCAGGGAGACTCCAGACTTTTGGACAAACTGATGGCAAATACACAGGTGCTACCAAGAAGCAGCACTGGTTGTTATGGGAACAGATAACAGAGGGGAGGGGTGTCCTGTCTGGAGGGCATCCCTGAGGGAGAGATGTTTGTGCTGAGGCCTGCGGTTGCGGGTGGACCAGGCAAGCAAGGCCAAAGTGAGGGATGTCCCTAAGGAGAGGTACCCTAGAACAGAGCCAGGGAATCTGAGAGAACCCAAGTGGCCACACCCTGAGAGCGGGATGGGCTGGGCTCTACACCAATGGCACTAATCCTCCTCTGAGGGCTGGGGGGAAACCTGGCTCAGAGAGGTTGAGTCATTGTGCTGGGGTCACAAAGCAAGAGGAGCAGAAGGGTAGGCCCAGGTCCAACCAGCTCTAAGGTCTGACCCCTCCCAAGTCACTGAGGCAACCAGGCCAGGAAGCAATGAAGGGAAGGGCTTCATGGGCAGTGTCTCCTAAATGCCCACAGCCTGTTCCCCCTACAGAGCTTGCTGGCCATGTCACCAGAGAAGCGGAAGCTGGCGGCCCAGGAAAAGCAGCCCTCAGAGCCCCTGCCGGAGGAGCAGCCCAAGGAGAAGCTGCACACCCTGGAGGAGTTCTCCTACGAGTTCTTCAGGTGCCCACCTCCTGGCCTCCCCAGGGCAGGGGGAAGCTGGGAGGGGCTCATGGCCGGGAAGTTGGATGAGGACAGGGAGGGAGCGCTGGGCAGGGAAGGCCTCACGGCAGGCCCTCGCTCCAGCCTCTGTCCCTGACAGGGCCCCAGAGAAGGAAACGGTCAGCAGAGCCATGATGCCCCTAACCCGCGCCCGGGGCCACCTGTGGGCCTTTTCCCCGGAGCCACTACGGCAGCCCCTGCTCAAGCGCGTCCATGACAGAGCTGACCTGCGGGACGCCGCCTGCCAGATCTTCCATGATATCCTTCCCCAGCCACCGGCCCTCACCACATTGCCATGTGCACCTTTGTGTCCCCTCCTAGCCCCATGGGTGGGGCCAGACGTCACCTCACCAAAGGGATATGCTTAGAGCTCAGTGTGGGGCCAGGGTTGAGGGTCAGTGTGGGGCCAGGGGTCAGTGGCTAGCCCTGGTCAGGGGGTCAGCTCAGGACCACCCCCCAGAGCTGTTCTCCTTGACATCTGCACCCATCCTCAAGTACATGGGGGACTACCCCTCCCGGCAGGCCTGGCCCACCCTGGAGCTCACAGATCAGATCTTCTCATTGCCCCTGCAGGACTCAGCCCTGCAGGACGAAGTCTACTGCCAGATCCTGAAGCAGCTGACCCAGAACTCCAACAGGTCTGCCGGGGGTGGCCGGGTGGAAGGCGCTGGCTCCCTCAGCCTTCATCCAGTCTCCTAGGCCCCAGGTCCGCTCTCCCACCTTGTGCCCTGCCCGCTCCATCCTTTCTCTCTGTGACCTGAGCAGGCCACAGCTTCTCTGAACCTCACTGTCCACAAAATGGACACCATGGTACCCCTTTCCGTCTCCAGGCTGTGAAAGGCCTGTGAAATCAGGCAGTAGCCTTGCTGGTGTCCCCCTGAGTCCTCTCCTTGGCCAGGCCCCCAGACCTCCAGACCCAGGCGGGTCTTACATTTCTGCTCCCCAAGCTGCCTGCCTGGCCTGGGACCCAGGAGGGAGCCCTTCCTGCTGATGGCCACCCACCTCTCCCCAGGTACAGCGAGGAGCGCGGCTGGCAGCTCTTGTGGCTCTGCACGGGCCTCTTCCCGCCTGGCAAGGCCCTGCTGCCCCATGCCCAGAAGTTCCTAGACACTCGGAGGAAGAAGCTGCTGGCCCCTGACTGCAGCCGCCGCATCCAAAAGGTCCTGAGGTGAGTCGGTCACCTCCAGACCCCCAGAGCATCAACTTTGGGACAGCAAGCCGGGGCGCAGAGGGACCTGGACCAGCCCTCCCGGAGCACAGTCAGCAGGGAGACCCATCAGCAGGGTGGACCGAAAATCCTCTCCAAAAGCTGGTGTCAGTTTGGACAGAGAGGACGAGGCCCCAAGCCAGTAGGAAAGGAGACAAAGGCTGAGGCCCCTAAAGGTCACAGAGAGGTCCGGGCAGTCAGACAGGGCTGTCATAGCTATCTTGTCTGTAGCTCACCTGCTCCACCACTGCCCACCAGGACACAGGGACACTGGCCAGAAGGTGACCTAGATGTTCCCACCCAGCCCAGGGTAGCTGAAATCAGGGACCCCTCCCTTCCTCGTTCTTCCCACAGTCAGAAGTCCTTCCTAGATTGTCCTGAGCCTCCTGCACACCACCTGCCTCCACTTGGCTTGGCCTCCTGTGGCCATGGAGTGGGGGGAGTTGATTGTGAGTGGCCACATGTCAATGACAGCTGCTGTCATGGAGGGAGGTGGGCACTCTCAGAGAGACACTGCTGAGCATCCTCAGCCCCTGCCTGATGCACTTTTGAATGAGAGTAAGGACACATCTGGCCTTGCCCACATTGCTTCCCCCAGGAACTCCTGGCACGGGCTCCTCTTTTTTCATGTGTGTCCATCTGGGAGGTGACCCCAGGCCTATTTCCATCATGGCCCTCTCTGAGCTCACCTAGCAGATGCAGCCCCTTGGGCTGAGGAACCCACCACACCCCCTGAACCCCCATAGAAGTCACCACAGGGGCTGTTTCTGGAGCCTGGCTTAGGGTCCAAGTGGAGGCTGGTGGCTAGGGCAGGGGCAAGGTGGGCCTGGGGACAGCATCTGCAGCATGCACTGTCTCTCTCAGGACAGGACCTCGGAAGCAGCCCCCGCATCAGGTGGAGGTGGAGGCCGCAGAGCAGAATGTCTCCCGAATATGCCACAAGATCTACTTCCCCAATGACACCAACGAGGTTAGAACCCCACCCTGGTACCACAAGCCTCAGGCTTCAGGAGACTGTGGGGCATCCGCACCACTGTGCGGGCTCCTTGGCCACCCAAGCTGAGCCTTGTCCAGTCTGAAGCAGATGGTTTCACCTTCATCCTCCCACACCGTCCACCTGGGTTGCAGGCCCCACCTGGGTTGCAGGCCCTGCCTGGGGTGCAGATTCCAAGAGGACAGATACAGAGGGCAGGGGGTCATGGGGGAGGCTGCTTGTGCAATTGGAAGTAGGGACTGTCCAAAATAATAAGTTGGGGACACCAGGTCAAGAACACTGAAAATTGGTGACCAGAAGCGTGGGCAGCAAGTTTGAGGCTCAGGGCTTACGGTCGGTCCCTGGGGCAATGGTGAGCAGGTGCCAGCTTTGGATGTGCCTCGTGGACAGAGCCTGCCATGGCGGCTCAGAAGAATGGAGGGAACTGGGAGTCCATCAGGACCCAGCTATGACAAAGAGACCCTTGGCAAGAGGCAGCAAAGGGAGACGGGCCCGGGGGACTGAGCAGCCAAGGCAGATGGTACCATCTTCACTTCCTGTTGGCAAGTTGGTCTCTATGGCCTTGGGGACAACTGAGTCCCTAGAATGGAAACTTCCCACGGTCTGACTGCAGGACTCTCACAGCAAGTTCAAAGTCTGGGCCCCCTGGGTCCCCAGACAGTGAGTGCTGTGACTAAGCAATGTGACCTTCCAGATGGCTGTCTGGGAGGGAGGCCTGGCCCTCTCAGCCCAGAGCACGCCCAGCCTGAGTTTCATGAAGGGCGATCCCAGGCTGTGCCTTGCCCTGAGACAGCTGTGTGGGGAGGCTTCCCGGGGGCCTGGGGCCCTCACCTGCCATCTCTCTGCCCAGATGCTGGAAGTGGGCGCCAACACTCGGGTGCGAGACGTGTGTGAGAGCATCGCCACCAGGTTACAGCTGGCCTCCTGGGACGGCTGCAGCCTCTTCATCAAGATCTCAGACAAGGTGTGCTGGCCTGGCAGGCCAAGGGAGGGCAGGCAGGGGTCCTGTGGGGCGGGGTGGACTTCAGCCTCTCGGCATGGCTGTGCTGGGCCAGGCCCATTACTGCACAGCTGGGCTGTTAGGATGAAAGAAGGTGGGTCTTGGGGCTAAAGCCCTGGCCTCACACACCCCGGGCCTGGGTGACTCCAACCCCAACAGTGTACCCAGCTTATCAGGCCTAAGTAGATGACCACTGGACCCCAGTCCCACAGGGTCTCCCTGGAAGCCACACGACCTTCCTGCCTTCTGTCCCTGCCCAACCCCAGGTCATCAGCCAGAAAGAAGGAGACTTCTTTTTCGATTCCTTGAGGCATATGTCTGACTGGGTAAAGAAGAACAAGCCCCAGAAAGAAGGTTAGGGGGTCTCAGGGGCGGGGGGACTGGCTGGGATGGAGGGGAGAAGGTGGAGTTATCTGCCTTGTTCCAGCACTGCTGCATGGCCCTGGGGTCATTCCTTCATTTACTCGTTGTCCTGTATGCCCCTGGACACAGAGATGGCTGTAGTGGACAGGCCCCAACTCCAAGGGGAGGTCCAGGAACATTCCTGGAGGAGGTGGCCCCCACACTACTCTTGAAAGATGAGGAAGAGTTGGAGGCCAGGGAGGAAAAATTGTGAGACTTTCCAAAGGAGGTGGCAGCAGGAGCAAAGTGGGAAGGGGAAAGGTGTGCTGAGGCAGGGAACAGGGGGTGCATGGCCCTGTTTGGGCCATGGGAGTGGGCTGTGGAACCTGCTGGAACAAGCTTGGTGCCCACTACTGCCCCTTGTCCAGGGGCCCCCGTGACACTCCCTTACCAGGTGTACTTCATGCGGAAATTGTGGATCAACATGGCCCCAGGGAAGGACGTGAATGCAGACACCATACTCCACTACCATCAGGTACCTGGCAGGCTTCACCGACCCAGCCCCTGCCCACCCGCGGCCACTGGCTCCACTCCCATTCCATCCCACGTCCTCCCTGAGAGTCGCAGAGGCCGAGGCCAGGGCAGGGCTGCCTTGCCCCAGGGCACCAGCCAGTGTCCCATGAAGTGGGAAGGTCCAGCCCATGAGGACTCTGGAGCCAGGAGCAGAGCACAGCAGCATCTGGGAACAGTAACTGCACTGTTACCTGCAGCGGGATTGGAGGGGGTGAGGAGAGAAGGTCCCGGAGCTTGTGGAGTACTGGCCCGGTACCCTGACGGACCAACTCTATGTGGGTAGAGCACCGTGGCCACCACGGCAGGATGTCAGGGAGCTGTGTCCTGGCTCAAGGGTCACTCCCATGTTCCAAAACTACCAAGGGCCTCAGCTTTGACCTGCTCAGTCTCTCCCAGATGGGGGCAGGCTAACCCCCAGCACCCCCCACCTGCTCATGAAAGTGGGAGATAAGCCAGCAGCCTGAGGCCCGGCATGTCCACTACTCAGGAGCTACCCAAGTACCTGCGTGGGTTCCACAAGTGTTCCCGGGAAGACGCTGTCCACCTGGCGGGCCTCATCTACAAGGCCCAGTTTGATAATGACCGGTCCCAGCTGGCTAGTATACCCAAGATCCTGAGGGAACTGGTGCCCGAGAACCTCACTCGCCTGATGTCCTCTGAGGAGTGGAAAAAGGTGCTTGTTGGGTTGTGGAGGGGGTCCTCAGGCTGCCAGCCCTACCAGGGACCCCACCTGGGTGTCTGGTTCTGCCCCTCCATGCAGTGGGCACACTGCTGGGCATGGGAGGGGGGCTGATCACCATGCCTTTCCCAACCCCCCATCCACAGAGCCGCTCAAACCTTCCACCTAGACTGGCCCTCAGGCAGATGGGCGCCACTCTGGCCAGGGCCTCAGAGGCCTCTGGGGCATCTAGGCCCAGAAGGAAGGTCCCCTCTGGCCAGGACAGCCCCACTCAGGCCCTGACTGGCCCTGTCTTCCCCCAGAGCCTCCTCGTGGAATGCGATAAGCACAAAGACAAGACCGTGCAGGAGGCCAAGGTGGCCTTCCTGAAGTGGATCTGCCGGTGGCCCACCTTTGGGTCAGCCTTCTTTGAGGTGAAGGTAAGCCTCGCCCCACACAAGCCCCACTCAGTCTGACCCCAAGCACCCATCAGGTGGGGTTGACTGCCAGGTATGACAGAAACACGTGTGTGTGCACACCTGTGTACCTGCCTGTGCCCCAGGTGAGCACGTAGAAAGTGGACCCCTGGCCTCTGGGTTGGGCTATGACCATCGTGCCTCTCCCTCTCCAGCAAACCTCAGAGCCGTCCTATCCAGACATTGTCCTCATCGCCATCAACCGACACGGGGTCCTGCTCATCCACCCCAAGACCAAGGTAGAACAGCAGGTCCTGGGGCAGGGCTGGGGGTCACCAGGGTCCCAGGACCCCTGTGCAGGTGGGGCTGCAGTCACCAGTCTCGTGTGCCATGCCTGCCCTCCCGTCCCCCAATACACACACATGCACACACGCACACTCGGGTATGCACAACCCACGGGCTGTGGTCCCTGCCCACCTGCCTCTCTGCCCGCAGGACCTGCTCACCACCTACCCCTTCACGAAGATCTCCAGCTGGAGCAGTGGTAGCACCTACTTCCACATGGCACTGGGGAGCCTGGGCCGGGGGACGCGCTTGCTGTGTGAGACCTCTCTGGTGAGCCCAGGCCCTGTCGCCCACCCATATGCAGCACCCGCGGGCACCAGGGACTGGTCTTCCCGCCCTCACCTCATGAGGGATCAGGTGCTCAGGGCTACACTGGGCCAACAGAGGCCTGCAGGGAGATGAGGTGCATCCCGAGGGCCAGCCGTCGGCAGCCTCTGCGGCAAGACCTCATAGCAGGGATCCGTGCCGTCGGACCCACTGGGGGAGGCATGGAGGGAAATCAGGCCCAACAGGACAGCAGGGACCCCAGCAGCTGGGCCCTCCTTCCCCACTGTCTGGCTGCAGCAGAGATGCTGGATGCCACCAGGTTCCCGCATCCAAGACCCCAGCTGCCCTCCCCGTGCCCACAGCCTCTGACCCAAACCTGTCCCCATCCAGGGCTACAAGATGGACGACCTGCTGACATCCTATGTGCAACAGCTCCTGAGCGCTGTGAACAAACAAAGAGGCCCCCGGGCCCCATCACTGGCCAGCACTTAACAGCCACCTGCCCAATTTAGGATCCCTCAGGGTATAAACTCAGGGCCTGCCCCCTGCACACACCCCACTTCCCTCAGGTGCCTGTCTCCTGAGTGCTGACCACGGAGGCCAGAGGTCGTCTCTGGCTCCAGACTCATGCAGTATGACTGAGAGAACCCCTCCCCCTGAACATTTAATAAAACTTCATGGAGCCGTGGAAGCGTGTCAGTGAGGTAACAGGCCGAGTGATAGGTGGACAGCAGGCTTGGGAGGCACTGACCCCCCAACAGCGTCTCTTCCAGTAAAAGCAAAGAGCATTGCAACTTCTCCAGGAAACGCGGTGACAGCTGCATTCCCCAGGAATGACCTCATGTGCACTTTCTCCTTCTTCCCTCCTTCTCCCTCCTGCCGGCCCTTCCTTCCTGTCCTCAGACTGGACACAGGGTATTCACTGAGATTCCTCCTTCCAGGACCCCCTGCGCTTTCCTCCTCCCCCACGGTAAGACACAGGGACACGTGCACTGTTTCCAGGGGGGCTGGGGTGGAGGCCATGGGAGGCTGGGTGGAGGCCATGTGGGGCCAGCATTCTCTTGGGTAGCTGACTTCGTGCTGAGGCCAGGCTGTGCCCAGGCAATGGGTAGAGCTGGATGCAAGGCTTGGAGGCCTGGGTCACCCCCCACCTATCTCAGAGACCCCTCAGCCCAGCCTCCATAGACCACCTGACACCCTGACCATAGCCACCCTGACCTGCCTGATGGTTCCTGGCTGGCCTTCTGTCTGCTTGGCCTGAGATAGGGCTGGATTCCCCCTGACCTCTTCTGCCTGCCTGTCTGGTGTTTAGTAACCCCAGCAGCAGGGGGTCCACATGAGCGGAGACCCCACTCCCTTCACCCCTGTCGCCACAAACCACACAGGCCACGGTGGGCACGTGAATATAAGCCTTCATTGTGCAAAGGTGAGCCCCACGGCCAGGTCTAAGCTGGCCACGGAGGAAGGGTCCGCCCTGGAAGTGGGAGAGAGCCGCCTCTCACTCCACCACCTCCCGGCCCCCAGGCCATGCCCAGAGGCTCAGCGTATATCCTGGGTTTGAGGAGAGGGGAACCACAGCTTGAGGAGGGTGGCAGAGACAAGATGTCAGAGAGGGTCCTGGAGTAGGGGAGGGGCTGGGGCCACGTCCCTCCAGCCGGTTTGTGGGTGGGCATGGCCCAGGATGAGCAGAGGGACCCTACGTGATTGAGTGACTGACTGTGGGATTGAAGAGTGGTGTCCCCCGCCCCAGAAGCCTCCGCCTGCCTGGGCCTGATGGCCGTGGGTGCTCCACGTGCCACTCGGGCTGAGGCTCCATAGCAGAGTGAGTGCCAAGAAGACCCCTGCAGAGCAGGACAGGTCAGGGGCACAGGTGGAAGCGGCTGTCAGGTGCGGATCAGGCCTCTGCACAGAAGAGGAAGGAGAGGATGGCCAAGGAGGGAGGTGCTGGAGCACACAGACCCAGACCAGATGGGAGGGAGGCCCTGGTGAGTGGGGAGAGGGCAGAAGGCAGGGGACGGGGCTGAGAGAAGGAAAGAGTGGAGAAGTGGGAGGCAGCCAGGAGAAGGGGGCCAGGCAACTGGGGAGCCTTTAGGCAGAGTTGACATCCACGGACTTGGGCTGGGCCTTGCGGGACGTCAGATCTGAGAGCTTCTTCAGCCGCTTCTTCAGCTCCAGCGGGAACTTCTCGTAGCATTTCTTACATACTGGCTTCATGTCGAACTCCACAAACTTGTTCCTGGGGATGAAGCCAGCAGTCCAGGCCCCACTGACTCTGAACCCAGATAATCAGCCAGAGGCAGCAAGGGCCTGCTTCTGGCCACAGGGCACATGGGGATAAGGAGATGGGCCTGGGGCCTCCTTCCCTCCTAGAGGCTTCTCAGATTCGGACCCTCCAGAACCCTCTATGGCTCCCTACTTCCCATGGAAGCCTGGGCTCCAAATCACTGGACTCCTCACAGCCCCATCCAGGCTTCCCTGACACATTTGACTTTCATATGCTGTCCCCTGAGCTAGAATGCCCTACCCTCCCGAGAGTTCAGAGTCTTTGTGGATGTGTTACTCCCTCCCTCACTATACCCTGGAGTCCCGGGACCTGTCCCCATCTGCCTGGGCTGCCCCTGGCATCCCAGGGCCTGACCACCACAGTGTGCAGGGAAGACTGGATAAGAAAAGGAAGGGACCTACAGAGAGCCCCCACCACACGCCCCTGCAGGTGGGAGGCAGTAGGTGGACTCACTTCAGGGTGAGCTTGCTGTGGCAGGTGGAGCAGGAGAAGCAGTTCACACACCAGGCCTTGTTGAGGGCAGACACCACTGCAAGGGCAGAAGGGGCCTTAGCAGGTCAGCTGCAGGCCCAGCTGTGCAAAGCCAGAGCCAGCTGGGCCAGCAGCTGCAGAACCCACCGCCTGGAGGGAGCGCAGGGGTGGGGGTGGGAGGGACTCAGGGACAGAGGGGCCTCACCATCACCCTCGATCACATGGCTGCAGTTGTAGCAGACGTCCCCAAAGAGCTGTGGACAGAGCAGGGTATCAGTGCGGGCTGCAGACCCCAGCCCGAGGCCCCCCAATATGGCCACTCTCAGGCATCCCCTGAAGCCTTCCCACCAGGCACAGCCTCAGGCTTGGGGTGGGGGCACGGGGCCCACTACATCCATCCCTGGGAAAGAACAAGGTTAAGGCATTGCTCCCCAAGAGTGCTGTCGCTCCTGTTGGTGACCGGGAGGGCTATGGGCCGCCCCCACCTATTCGCCAGAGCAGTAGTTAAGGAAGAGGAGGCTGGCTGTCACCCCATTTGCCTGGTACCGCACACTGTTATCTGGCTGGGTCCTCACAAAGGTATGGGCCACAGACACACAGCTTTTAAATAAGGACATTGAGCGGAGAAAGCTGCTCATGTCTCAAGTCTAAGCTGGGATTCAGGCCTGGCCTCAGCCCCTCCACGGGCTCTCAGGGCACTGCCCACAGCCTCTCCTGCTCACACGACAGCCCCAGCCCACCTCCCTCAGGCTCCTGAGACCCCCAGCCATCCACCCAGACCCTCTGTGACCCCCAGCCATCCACCCAGACCCCCTGCGATCCCAGCCGTCCACCCAGATCCCCTGAGACCCCCAGCCATCCACCTGGACACCTTATGACCCCCAGCCATCCACCCAGATCCCTGAGACCCCCAGCCGTCCACCCAGACCCCCTGCGATCCCCAGCCATCCACCCAGACCCCCTACGACCCCCAGCCGTCCACCTGGACCCACTGCGACCCCCAGCTGTCCACCCAGACCCGTGCGCTGTGGGCTCGCCCCACCACCTACCTGGTTGTAGTGGGTCTCGCAGTAGGCCAGGCCCTTCTTCTCATAGTGTCGGTGGCCCAGGAATGGCTTCTCACACTTGGCACAGACAAAGTGCTGGGAGGAGAGAGGGTGGCTGGGGAGGTGTCAGGGCTAGAGCAGTGACCCCAGGAGGCAGAGGGAAGGGCAGAGGGGCGGGCGACTCCTTGGTCCTCCTTGAACACGGTGACATCCCTCGTCACTGTCCTCTCCCAGCCTGGGGTTCCCCGGGCAACCTCAGCCCAAGAAGCCAGGAGCTGGCAAGGTGCTGCAGTGTGGTGGCCTCTCACGGGTGGGAGCTGCCCCGCTCTCCGCAGGGTGCCTCTGGGGTGTCCTCCACAGACACAGGGTCACTGAGAGGCGGTTTGTAGCCATTTCATGGGTGAGGATGCACCTCCCCCAGGGGCACAGGCCAGGGCCTGGGTCAGGGCAGCATGGCCCACAGTCTCTCATAGGACCTTCTCAAAGAGGCCACCCAATACATAGTTTCTGGACACAGAGATGGCCAGGCCACCGGGGAACACAAACCTCCTTTCCAAGTGTGTCTATAAGAACACTAAAGCCCTCGGTCCAGGGGTGAGAGCTCCAGGTGACCCCAGTGTGCACACCTGGGCAGCCGACCAGTGCCTCGTCTCCTTGAGACTGCACTCGGCTGATTTTATCCACCATAACCCCTCGGGGTGCCTCTGGCCAACTCTGGAATCCTCTGAAATGCAGGAGGTGGAAGAGGAAAGGTGGACGTGGCTGCCTGATCAAGACCTGTGGGCTCAGGTCTCCGGCGCCTATGGACAGCTGCGGTCCCTGGCCATGCACAAGAGGGGCAGCTTCCTGAGGCTGGGTCTCTCCAGGAGTCGGTGCACAGCATGGGCTGGGATGTGAAGGGGGCTGTGAATGGGGGCACCCCTCAACCTGAAGCCTCATGCTTCTGCCAGTCTCACCTCCACGTGCCACTGCTTGCCCAGCGCGTTGACCACACGGCCCTCAATGGGCCGGCGGCAGGCCCCACAGATGGGGACCCCCATCTTGTCATGGCAAGGTAGGCAGTAGAGCTCACCCTTCAGCTCCCGGGCCTCGGCAGTCAGCTCCTTCCTGGAAGACAGCACAGACTCCTCCAGGTGTCACCCCTGACCCTTGGCAGGGTCACTCCAGCCTCTCTAGCCCAAAGGCACTGTGCCCTGAAAGGCCCCACTCAAGCTGAGCCGAAACTCTCTGATCTTTGGTTTTTTTTGGAGACTTCCTGTATGAGCCCCAGACAGGCCCTGGAGCCCAGAATTCCCCCACAGGCCTGGCAGAAGGGCCCCTGTGTTCTGCCCCATCAGCCCTTTGAGAGGAAGGTCTGTTCTCAGACCTCCCTCCTCCTCCAAAGCAGACTGAGTGTCTGGGACAGGCACGGAAGGGACCAGAAGAGACTTTGAGGGAATAACTCCTCGTCCCTCTCCCACACCAGCACCAACCTCACTCTCCACCCCTACCTCTCTACTCAGTCTCAGCAATGGTCTCTGCAGTTCAGGGGCCAACCTCCCGCTTTCGCCCCCCCAAATCTCAATTACCCCCTGAACAGAGTCCTGGAGAGAGGAGCTTCCGGCCCCGGCCACTTCCCGGTCCCCATTCTACCTCTTCCCTGCAGCTCCTCACCTCATGGTGTGGATACCCTCTCTGCCCACCTGGTTCACCTCTCCTGCCTCAGCATTGACCTAGGTGCGAATCCCACCGTCCCTGCTCTCTGACAGCCATGCTGTCCACCTGCCCCCACCCCAGGGACAGGATAGGCACCTACCCACAGTGGGTACAGCTGAAGTGATCTGGGTGGTAGGCGTCATTCCTGAACATGAGGGGCTGCTCATCAATGACCAGGTGGCACCGCTGACAGATGTACTTTCCTAGGCCCTTGGCCTTCTCACGGTTGTGGCAAGGTCGGCACAGGTGCCTGTGGGAGGTGAGGGTATTGTTAGGGGCAGGTCAATACCTCCTGCTCCCAGGATGGCCAGGCCACCTGTAGAAGAGAGCCCAGGACCCTGCCTGCAGCCTGAGCCAGAGCCTTGGGGCTTCAATGAGGCTCATCCCAGAAAGCAGGAAAGTAAGCTGCCCAGGGGGGCACAGGTGCACCCTTTAAAAAGAGGGCCCAGGGCGGCACAGGTGCATCCTTTAAAAGAAGTGGCCTACTGTGCTCAGGAAAAAGACTAGGCATACAGCAGAACGTTCCTGTTTTTCTATCTTTGGCTAGTATGTTTCTTCTTTTAAAAGTGGTATGTTTCCACTTTTCCTGAACCTAGGATAGTATATGGAACAGAATAGACATTTAATTGACATTCGCTGGAAAATCAGTTTCATGTCTCAAATGTCCTAACAGGAGCTACAGAGAAGGTTAGTTTCAAAACCCCATTGTGCCCAGCAGAGTGGCCACGAAGCACAGGACCACACAACAGGCTCGTCCTTTCCTTTGGGGTCCACCAGATAAAAAGGGGTCCTAACGTGTACAGGCACCTTCTGTCTCCAAAGACAAGTGCGGCTGTGTCAGACGGAGGCCCCAAACCCAGGAACTGTCATCACAGAGTCTTTTTTGTGAAGACCTCAGAGTCATTTCTGATGCTACTCCACAGCTGTGGTCTCAACTGAGTAAGAAATCAACATGGTTTCTGTTTCCCCTCCCTCAAAGGAGGCAAGAATTTAGATTCAGGGTCCTCAGGCAAAGATAGACAAAGAGGGCAATCCAGCGCCCCTTGTTTCTGATCCCCACCTGCCACCCCAATCTAAATGTGCTCCTGATGCAGCCAGACCCTCCTTCTCAGGCCCCCAATCCACGCCCCTTCACCCTTCCGTCCTCCACACGGCAACCCCAATGTTGGCTCCTTTTATAGGCTGGCAGTTTACATAAAGGATTGACTCTCATTCAAAACCTCCCTGCCAGGTGAGAGTGGGCAGTCAGCTCAGTGTCCCCAGCCTGGACCCCCAAGCCCACTGTGTCTGTTTGGATCTGGACTCCATCCCGCAGCTCCCTGCTCTTGCCCTAAAGTCCTACTTTACCAGGGGGCATGCCCCAGAGAGGTCCTGGGAACCACTCGCTAACTAAAATCTGCCTGGCTGCCGGCTGTGCCTCCACCAGATGCTGGGTGCCTAGCATGGGGCAGTGGCTCAGGATCAGCTTATTGAATATGTGAGGGAACAAGTGATTGCGCAATACAAGAAGGGAAGGACCGTTGGCATCATCTCCCTGTGACATGGCCAAGCCTGGCCTGGGCCCTTGGCTCTTCCCACCCCACAGTGGGCAGCAGATGTGGCCTGTAGCAGCAGCCTTCATCAACATGATCCAGGGATCCCACCCACACCCAGACACCTATGCCCCAGCCCCCACCCACACCACCTCCACATCTGGCCTAGGGCTGATCCGCCCCACCCAGCCACGGACTGTGACCAGCCCACTCCCCCTGCCTCTGTCACAGTCAGTCTCCATTCCCCATAGTCCCACTCCCAATTTTGGTGATTACTCCTTAGCATGAGGACAACATTCAACCATATAGAATAACTCTATTTCAAAGCTGTAGAAATTCGCTCAACTTCCCAAATTCTACTGCAATGGTCAACGCCCTTCAAGCCTCCATCAGGAGTCACCTCGATAATGAAAAGTCTGTTGGTGTGTGTCGGGGGATGGCTCAGTGGAAGAGCACTTGCCTAGCATGTATGAGGCACTGGGTTCAATCCCTGGCATTAAGGAAATGGAAGGGCAGGTCAGGGGGAACCCAGAAATGCCCACATTTCTTTTTTCCTTTTCTTTCTTCGTGTGTGTGTGTGTGTGTGTGTGTGTGTGTGTTACTAGGGATTAAACCCAGGGGCACTTTAACATTGAGCTACATCCCCCAGGCCTTTTAATCTTTTATTTTGGGATAGGGACTGAATAAGTTTCCCAGGCCGGTCTTGAACTTGGAATCCTGCCTCAGCCTCCTGAGTTGCCAAGATGGCAGCGTGTTCCACTGCACCCAGCACACACCCACATTTTCATCCAGTGTGAGTCAGTTCTTCCAGACAGCCCACCCAGAGCACAACAGGAAAGGGACCTCTACCCTGGCTCAGATACCTGCTTACCCACTGGCTCACAGGCAGGGCAGAGGAGCCCCCTACTCTTGTAGACACCCCAGCTGGGAAACAGGTTCAGGATAGACCCAAATCCCAGAACCAGATCCAAAGAGGACCTTTGGAATTTTTTTTTCCAGGTAGAATTCAAATGGAACCTAAGAATTCTAGCATTAAGATATAGCAGCAAAAGAGAACCACACAGCCTTGTGTGCACACGCCTGTAATCCCAGTGGCTCGGGAGGTTGAGGCAGGAGGATCACGAGTTCAAAGCCAACCTCAGCAACTTAGCAAGGCCCTAAGTAACTCAGTGAGACCCTGTCTCTAAATAAAACACACAAATAAAGGGTTGGGGATGTAGCTTGGTGGTTAAGCACCCCTGGATTCAATCCCCAGTACTGAAAAAAAAAAATAGACCCACACAGAACACGCACAGGAAGCATAACTTCTGGAGTGACACAGGCTTGGGTTTAAACCCTGGCTCTGTCAATTTCTGGCATTTGTCACTGAGTAGGTTACTTCACCTCTCTGAGCCTCAGGTTCCTTGCCTACAAAATGGGGCAATAATCCAGATGCACAGGGTTATGCAAAAAGGCAAATTTCAGATGGTGCACATGGTAGGCACTCCCCAAGTGCCAGCCACATAACAGTTTTAAATAACAACTTAAAAGTCTTTTGAAACCATGATTGCTGATTTGGTTCTTCAGGTCTTTTGCAAAGATGGAGAGAAATTAGCTTGGTTCATTCAGTCTTGGGAGAGGCCATCCTGGCAATACCCAAATTGCTCAGGCTCCAGCCTCGAGCAAACCATAGAGGAGTCTTAGGAGCCAGCAGTCAGTGGGCTGCAGTAGCTCTCTTGATGGCCCTTCTGTGCTGAGGAAGAATCCACACCGGCGAGGGCTGAGCCTGCCGGGCTGAGCTGCGTCCCCACGGGACAGACAGCGCCCCATTATGAGGCGGCCTGCAGCTGTGCTTGATTCCACATAAAGGCCATGATTTATTCCACATGCCCAAACGGAGCCTAATTATACAGGGCAGGACACAAGGACCGTACAGCAAGTGTCCTGAAAGAATCCCCTCTCATTCCGCCCAACAAGACTCCTCAGCCTCCCGCCCTCTGCATTCACGGACACCCCCTCCCGCCCACCCAGCGCAGGCCTGGGAGCATGGGCCTGTTGCCATGGTGGCTGGCCCCTCCCTGTCCCCCATTAGTAGGAAACCATCCCCTTCTGAAATGTCCCCTTGTGTCTGTCAGCTTCAGTCAGAGCCCCCCACCCAGCCCCAGCCGTCACCCACTCCCAGGCTCCCAAGGCAGTCACACACTCAGCCTCTGTGACGCTCAGTGGCCAAGCTGGGAGGGGGGTGCACAGGCTGGGGACACTGGAATATTCACGGCCCCGTTGCGGCAGAGGCAGCCGGAGGAGCAGCCCACCCCACAAGGGACCCCTCAGGAATGAAGTAGCCTTTCAGGGCTGGAGGGGCTGCAGGCTCCCTTCCTCTCCTTAAATAGCCAGCCATCCACCCGCAGCTGCACAGAGGCCACCGCCGACGCCACCGCCCGCGCCCACAGTTCACCTGCCACCCCAGCTCCTGTCCCTTCCTCCTGGACCAGCTGTGAGAGGTAAGGAGCAGGACGGGGCGGGCAGGCAGGGCGTCCAAGAGTCACCCTGCTGGTGAACATGGGGCATCTCTTGTCCCTGTCTCCTTGATAATGGCTAGGCCAAAGCTGAACTCACAGCCACCTGCAATGCAGTGTTTTTGCCCCTCCGTTGGGAGCTTATAAAGGACAGGGGACTTTCCCACAGGCCCATGCCGCAGTGACAGTCAGCCAGCACCCACGGCCACAAGGCTTTCTTAGCACAAGAAAGAGCCAGATTCGGGCCAGGAAGGGACTGGTGACCAATGTACAGAAAACTACCTCTGCCAACCACAGTACTGCCCCCATGGCTTCCTCCTCCAGCCGCGTCTGCCCGTATGGTCCCTCCACGGAGGCCCAAGGCCCATCTGACCTGCAGCCACGGGGCCCAGATTGCCCCAGGTCCAGGCCATACTCCACAATGCTCTTAGTAGCACATGCTCTGTGACTGTCTGAGCAGAGTGAGCCCGGAGGACCCAGTAGATCCAGGCTGAGGCTCCAATTTCTAAGTGACAAGGGAGTGAGAGAAATGGTAGGAGAAATCACAGCAAAACAGAAACAACCCAGACAGTTTCGGTCACCGAGAGTGAGTATCCACAGTCTCCTAGGTGGCAGGCCAAGGGCAGCATCAACAGGCAAGGCCACCTGGCAGAAGGCAAGGCAGAACTGGATGCCACAGCCCACCCAGCGCTCTGGGGTGTGAGCCCTATAGTCACACACTCGGAGCCCTGAGTGGTTTAATGCTCTGCTGTCATGTCTTGAAAATCTTACTTTTCAAGCAAGGAATACACATTGTCATTTCACATTGGTCCCCCAAATTAGGTGGTCAGTCCTTCAGCCAGGTCCCAAGAAGGAGACACTGAGCCAGAGATGACTCCAGAATGAGGTCTGAGACAAGCCACACTCCTGGCTCTGGGCACGGAGCCCTCGTGGGTCTCCAGAGGTAGTGTCCTGGGAGCCTTGGGTCTCTCTGATCCAACTTCCAACTCCAGGGCCACTGCCCCCTGCTATGTGACTTCAGGCAGGAAAGCAAACGCCAAGCCCTGTTTTCCCCCTTTGTAAAATGGAACGCCTGATGCCAACCTCCTAGAACCAGCATACACAAGAGGAAGCAGGCCCTGACCATGCCATGTATGGGGGAGGGTGGGGGCCATACCTGTGAGCTGACCTCCTGGAGGGGCCAGGTGACAAATGCACTGTAGAGCACAATCCAGGTCCAACTGGCTGCCCAGGGTAGAGGGCAGCCAGCTCAACCCCTTCCTAGCTCTGGGTTCCGACAGACCAGAGATGAGAAGTCAGGGTCAGCATTGGCCTCCTGAGCCACGTCCAGTCTCCTGCCCCACCCTAGGCTGTAGGCTGCTCTGGCCCCATCATCTACCCTCTCCTGCCCACATCCCCAGCTCCCAGTCCTGGGCAAAAGAAGCAAGGTGTTTGGGACTCTCCTTCTTCTCTCTCTTGGATCTTTTAAGTGGACTAAATCAAGACAGAACAGATTGCCCTGTCTGTTGGGGAGGGGTGGGGGCACCGATAAGGATCTGGGCTTCACTTTGTTAGCAAGGGAAGGCTCTGACCACAGTCCTCAGGCAGCCTCCCAGGCCTCTCTGGGCTGCAGATCTTCCCAGGGAAAACCTAGCCAGTCTCTCTGCCGTTAGGCCCTTGACCTCCTGAAAAGATCCCACTTCTTGATGTTGGAACAACCTGGTGGGAAAACACATCCTGCTGGCCTGAGGTCAAAGCACAGTGTCTTCCTCAGTCCAGGCCTCCTCCCAGTGGGATGTCCAAAACAGAACTGGTGGGCTGAGTCCACTCGCAGATGCTGGTGGACAGAGTAGGCCTCTGGCTTCCTCCCAGGACATGACCCTTGCTGAATTCCTGAGGAAGCCCTCCTGAAGGTCGGGTGCTGGGGGAACCGTGGTCAGGGGCCGCAGGGGTGCCAGAAGGTCCAAGCAGACAGGTCAGGGAGGGTTCTGGGACTCAAGGGGAGTGGCGTTCACTTGGAAAGACTGAGGCTGAAGGAACTGGCAGGCTTCAAGCACCCAGCTCTCAGAAACAGCCCACCCAGTCAGTGGTAATGAGGGCCACCGTCCGCCGTTCAGATGGCACACCTGAAGGGAGAACAGAAAACACGGGGCCCTTCCCTGCCCTCCAGAGCCTCATGCAGTCGGAGCTCACATCTCCCCATTACAGTGCTGACTGCACCCTCCCTGCCCTGAGGGAGTACAGTGTGGGGTAGAATGTGGGGAGGAGCTGCCGATTTCTGGGTCACCCAGCACTGGCCCTGGGCCATTTCGGCAGGGACACAGCTACTCAGGGGGAAAGCTTCAAGTCCCAGTTTTGCTTTGACCTTTTGCTAAAATTCAGAATGCCTTTGATGATTAGTCACCCCTAAATGGGCACAGGGGTTCTCAGCAGTCCTGGTGGTAATGCTCCGCTCAGAGCAGCTATGTTCCTCTCAGTTAGGGGTGGGAAGTTCTGAAGTCATCAGAGGTCCTACTTGTGACTTCTGGAGGGCAAAGCTTCGCTAGCTAGCCTGGGTTCTCTCTGGCCTGTTTGTTTGTTCACTCCATGTTTGTCCCCTGCTCTGCCTCCAGCCAAAGCATGAATGGCCTCGAGGTGGCCTCCCCAAGTCTGACCGACAACTCATCTCTGACCACTGAGCAATGTGGGCAGGAGACACCCCTGGAGAACATGCTGTTCGCTTGCTTCTACCTCCTGGATTTCATCCTGGCTTTTGTTGGCAATGCCCTGGCCCTGTGGCTTTTCATCCGGGACCACAAGTCAGGCACCCCAGCCAATGTGTTCCTGATGCACCTGGCCGTGGCCGACTTGTCCTGTGTGCTGGTCCTGCCCACCCGCCTTGTCTATCACTTCTCTGGGAACCACTGGCCATTTGGGGAAATCCCGTGCCGACTCACCGGCTTCCTCTTCTACCTCAACATGTACGCCAGCATCTACTTCCTCACCTGCATCAGTGCTGACCGCTTCCTGGCCATCGTGCACCCGGTCAAGTCCCTCAAGCTACGCAGGCCTCTCTATGCCCACTTAGCCTGCGCCTTCCTGTGGGTGGTAGTGGCTGTGGCCATGGCTCCACTACTGGTCAGCCCACAGACGGTCCAGACCAACCACACAGTTGTCTGCCTGCAGCTGTACCGAGAGAAGGCCTCCCACCACGCCCTGGCGTCCCTCGCCGTGGCCTTCACCTTCCCGTTTGTCACAACGGTCACCTGCTACCTGCTGATCATCCGCAGCCTGAGACAGGGCCCCCGCGTGGAGAAGCGCCTCAAGAACAAAGCCGTCCGCATGATCGCCATGGTGCTGGCCATCTTCCTGATCTGCTTCGTGCCCTACCACGTCCACCGCTCCATCTATGTGCTGCACTACCGGGGCGGCGGGACCTCCTGCACCGCCCAGCGTGTCCTGGCCCTGGGAAACCGCATCACCTCCTGTCTCACCAGCCTCAATGGGGCCCTCGACCCTGTCATGTACTTCTTCGTGGCTGAGAAGTTCCGTCACGCCCTGTGCAATTTGCTCTGCGGCAAAAGGCTCACGGGTCCGCCCCCTAGCTTTGAAGGGAAAACCAACGAGAGCTCGCTGAGTGCCAGGTCAGAGCTGTGAGCCCGAGGCTCTGTCCCTGGGTGGGCCACAGACTGTTGCAGGAGGAGGGTCCCCTGGGGGTGGGTGACACTGGTCTCAGCAAAGAGAAGGCTGCCCACTCTCCAATCTCCCTGAGCAAACCACCTGTTTCAGCAGGTCCCTACTCGTCCCTCCCAAAGGTCTGAACTTCCAGGTCACCCAGACCGGAGCTGGGTCTTAACCGCACAGAACCCCTAAAAAAGAAGAAGAATCAATGAGGATTGAGAGGCCATCCCTCTGCAGGGACTGTTGGCTCTGCTTCCTAGTCGCTCCCAGACACCCAGTGAGTTCACCCATGGAATGGGGGAGGGGACCCAGAGGGACAACTCCAGAACACTGAGGGTCTTTCTTTCCCCCACTAGACTGCCAGCCTCCCTCCTTACAGAAATGCACAGCAGGGAGGCCACGTAGAAAGGCCCAGAAGGAAGGCTGCAAAGGACTCAGGAGAAGAGGCACCCATGAATCTCAGTGGAGGAGTAGGAACAGTGTCTACGGTACAAGGAGTTCCCTTTGCAGTGCCTTTGCCAGATGAGCCCTTTCTGAATTTTGGGGGGATGGACTATAAATTGTAGCTAAACGCCGTAAGTATATTCAGACTGGTTGCCACGTGACACCCAGCAAACGTGGTTTGCAGAACACATTCATCCTGATCCCTCCTGTTATAAACTACACAGAGATCTGCCTGTGGTCTGACAATCCCTAGAGCCTCTCAGCAAAAGGAGCGCGGTGTGTATCCTGCTAATCCAGACCTGGCAGCGGCATCCTGAGTCCCATTTCCTCCTGAGGGGACTCAACCAGCCTCTGCCCACCCAGTTTTGAGCTGTCTCGCTTGGTAGCCTGCATGCGTCCCCCTAACATGTCCTTTTTTGTACTTGTTTGTACTGATCATAAACTGAATTGTAGTTTTAAGCTGACGGAGGCTACTGTGTCTGCTCAACGTGATGCCCTTCCCAGAACTTCTCTTCCCTTCAACCCAAGAATGGCCAAGCAGAGGCTGGGGCAGCTGCGGGGGCTCCCTTGCCAAGGTTCTGGTGGCCCACGCCTTCCACCCATGCCTGCCTGAGCCAGGAGGGTCCAAACGAGGACTTTCATTACTCAGCACCCCGGCTGCCACCCTGTCCCCTGTCATTACAGCTTTTCTACCACATGCTACTTTTCAAAGCACTTTTGGCCTCTTCTCATTTTCCCAACCAGTGAATGGGGCAGTGGCCCTGTGCAAGCCTTGGCTCAGGAGGGGACAGGACTCCCTCCAAGCTCACACCTGGCTGGTGACCCCAGTGGTCAACAGCTGTCCTTCAGCTCTTGCACTGTGCCGTCAGTGCCCCACAGCCCCTCACCCAGACAATCTGCAGAGCTCCAAGCACTGTGCCCGCCCTGCAGACACCAAGAATGACGTGAGGCCATGTTTTTCTCATGAAGCAGTAAATGGACAAGATCACTGCAGGCCACATCAGGAAGGGACAGGGGAGGTGCTGCAGCAGAAAACCAAGTACCTACATGGGAGAGGGTGTGGCAGTCAGATGGACAGCTAGGGAGTCTCTGGGGCAGTGCTGCCTCTTCTGATGTGGGGACACGGAGAGGCAGACTTGGTCATCAGTGGAGTTCAGTGGTTTGCTTTTTGTTTCATACTGGGGATTGAACCCAGGGGCACTCCACCACTGCATTCCCAGCCCTTTTTTATTTTAAGACAAGGTCTCGCTGAGTTGTGCAGGCTGGCCTCAAACTCACGATCCTCCTGCCTCAGCCTCCCAAGCCACTAGGATTACAAGCGTGGGCCACTGCGTCCAGCTGGAAACTCGGGGTGGGACCCATTGCATTTGGGATGCCTAGGTGCCCCCCAGGGAACAGCCATGTGGACCACTGAGTACTGGTAGGAAGAAGTCTGGGGTGGTGCCCTTAACTATCCAGACAGGCCATCAGGGTCTCAGGCCTGTCTTCAAAGGCAGACATGAGGGGCCAAGCACAAAGCCCCAGAGGAGAAGAGAATGAGGGAGGGGGAAACTATGAGATATGGGTTCTCACGGGGAGAAGAGGCGTTTCCACCTGAAGGAGGGGCGTTGCCGTGAGAGCCACTGGGAGACCTGTCAGTGCCCACGGTGGCCACAGGGAGCACACTAGGGTAGTGGGGGCTCCTGGGTGGAGCAGGCAGGTTCGCTGGAAAGGGCTGCAGCTACACAGGTGTGGGTAGGGGCACCCAGAACTCGTCCCTAGGGAGGAGGGAGGTAAGACTATCACTCTAGAGAGGGATGTAGGGGTCGGCAGAGCGGAAAGGCAAGGGTGGGGAGAATCATAAGGCTTCTTGAAGGTGGGAACTACTGGTGTGCTGGTGAATGTATGGTCCTGATTGGGGGGACTTCTCTCCAGCGACCTTCAGTCATGTGAGTCTATAGTTGGGGTGCAGACAGCTGGGTTCCGCATGCAGGGGAGGCCCCGAGGGTGTCAGCTCAACTCAAAGCTCCTTATTCACCCACCGTCACCTCATGGCTCCTGCTCAAGGGCTGTTGTCCCCACTGCCTTCTGCTGTCCTTGAGGAACACTGCCAAGCCCAGGGGGGCTCTGCTCTTGCCCCGCATCCCTTGTCTCTGCAGCCTCACTCCTCATTATAAACTGGGGGTGTACTGACCACCTTGGAGGTACAAAAGGGAGTCGGTAGCCACATCAGTATAGGCCAGGGAGCCTGGAGGGGCCTGGGGCTCAGCCTGTGCCCCCTGTGGCTCCTCACCTGCCCGCGTTCTTCACAAAGCCCAGGTCAGCCAGCTCCACATCACACAGCTCACAGCGGAAGCACCCCGGGTGCCAGTTGCTGTTCATGGCCTTGATCACGCGTCCAATGATGAACTCGCCTGGAAGAAGAGAGGTCCCTGCTTGCTGGGCAGGACTTGGCCCCTGCCAGGCCCTGTCCACATCAGCGCTCCTCCAAGCTCAGCCTGGTCCAAGGAACCCTGCCTGCAGCACAGGAAGGCGGTGCCTACGGAGGGCTGGAAGGGAAATGCTCAGAGACGGGCAAGGTGGGCAGGGAAGAGCCCCTCCACCCAGCAGGCCAGGCCCGTGGGCACTCCACTGCAGGGCCCTCACCCGCCCACCTCCACTTCCCAGGCAGCAGCGGACTCACCGCAGGATCCGCAGCACGGGGCAAACAGCATTTGGAAGTCGTGTTCGCAGTATTTCCGGCCCTCAAACTGCAAATGGGCCACAGACAAGACCAGTAAATCACCCATCATTCCCACGAGCCTCCTCCACACCCATACCCCTGCTTTGTTGGGTCAGGACCTGATGGCAGGGACGGATGGGTGTGGAACTGAGAGGAGGGCATTCCAGAAGCCAGAGCAGGGGGTGGGGCCTCATGATACAAAGAGGTGCCCAGAAAGGGGCTTCCATAGGAACCACTGCAGAAGTCCCCAAGGCCAGCTCTCTGAGGGCCCCTGCTGCGTGTTAAGGATGGTGGCCCTGTGGGTCCCGAGAGCAGGCCAGACTGCAGGAGGAGCTTAAGCTGGGACGGGATGAGGTCAAGTTCAAATCATATGCATCTCTTTGCCCTATTTCCTGTGTCCTTTCTGTATGGGAAATCCAGAGGTCACAAAAGAGTGAAGAGAATTAAAAAGGGGACACAGGAGGGTCTGACGGAGGGAGGGGAGTGCAGGAATGGAGGCACAACTGAGCCCTGCAGCCAGTGGGTGTGGACACCCCCGTGGAGCCACTTTTTGGCAGCGAAGACCAGGCACTGGCCCAAGGATGTCAAAGCTTGCTTCTGTCTCCCTCTCCCTGAACAATTTTTTTCTTGTTTAAAAATCTGGCTTTTCTGTTTTCTATAACAAGTGCCTATTCGACTGCAGCCCTACCCAGTGACCTGGGGAGGCAATGGTTTAAGTTCATCCTGCAGTCATGTCTGAGCGCCTACTGTATGCCAGGCTTTGTTCTAGGCACATGGCCCCTTCAGAACCGTCTACTCCTCCCGTTGCCTCTACGGCTGGCCAGCACTCCCCAGGAGGCTAGGAGGCACCCCAAGAATGCTACTGTGCAAGGCAGATCGCACACCCACATCTATCCACCAATGATCCCTTAGGATCCTCAAAAGCTACCCGGCATCTACCCCCAGTCCCTGGTCCTCACCTCCACTGCCACCGTCAGTGGTGTGCTGGTAAGTGTGTAACAACCAGCTCTCGGTGGCATGGAGGGAGGTGGCTGATGCATAGTGTTGGTGAAAACATCCCCCCAGGGTGATTTCCAGCTGCCAACGTGACACAGACCCAGTCGGGAAGACATGGGCACTGGCTGCCTTGGAGGTAGGAAGGATAGAAATAACTGCCAGAAATAACCGGGGAAGCATAGAGGATAGTAAAATGTAACAAAATAATTAGGAAGTGGGGAGTTTTACATATATGTTACCTTTGTGGGGTTTTTTAAAGTATTTTTTAGCTGCGTATGGACTCAAGGCCTCTATATGTTTTGATGTGGTGCCAGGAGGGAACCTAGTGCCTCACACTTGCCAGGCAAGTGCTCTGCCGCTGAGCCCCACCTTTGTTTTTAATAAAATGTTTCTTCAATTTATGCATTTCCACAACTTAATTTTTTAATGATGACTATTTAATAATCATTTTGCAAGACTAAAGATTTAACAACCTGCTCCTATGAGCTGGTGACAGCCACTTGAGATCCCTTCACTTTTTTCTGGATCATTGTAATAACCCAACTCCGGGTCCCACCTGGCCTCCAGCTTCTGTCCCCGGCCCCCTGACAGTCTCCTCTAACACAGCAACCAGAGGGGTCATTTTCCAAGATCAGGCACACCGTGTGACTCTGCATTCCTACTCCAGTCTCTTGCGGAGTGGAAGCCTAAGGTTCTATATGGCTCTACAGGACCAAAGGAGATCCATCTCCCTGTCGTCCCCATCTCCTGCCATTCTCCTGTTCCCTCTGCTTCCCCGATGGCCTTCCTACTGTTCCCCAAACACCCCGCACCCCCCACCACCACGGGCCTTTGCACATGCTGTGTCATTATGAGTGCTCTACCTGCGGATGCACAGGTGGCTCCCCACCTTTCCACTCTGCTCAGACGTGACCCGCCCTGGTCGCCCACCTCCTGCCCTGGATTCCTTACGACCAGGGCACAATAGATGCACCATCGAGTCACTACTTACCGTCTGTTCCCAACAGAGGCCAAGTGCTAAGAGGGCAGCCTCTTCCTGCCACCAGGGCGTGCTGGTCTCTGCCCAGAGGAGGTTGTGAAGTCACCTGTGTGGCCTCACATGTTACAGCTGACAGACAGGCCCACACAGGTGCGGCTCAAGATGTGGACCTATCATTGGTCAGTTCCCAGGGGGTGGGCAGAGTCCTACTGACCCCGAGCATCCTCACCTCATAGAAGAGCCCCTCAGGAAAGGGCCGGAAGCACTGGGCACACACGAAGCAGTGCTCGTGGTACAGCTCCCCGTTGCTGTTGACGATGCGCTCCGCGGGCGCGAAGCGGGCCTGGCAGCGCTGGCACACGGCGTTGGCCAAGGCGTCAGACATGTTGCTGGAGGGGAGAGGGCGTGGGAGGAGGTCAGGCCCGGAGGGAAGGCTGCCTCCATAGCCCTCCTGCTTCTTAAACAGTTGAAACAGCCTCTGAGATCTGGAAACTCGCTCACCTTCCAGGACCACCAGGCTGAGACCACCTGGCCCAGCTGGGGCCACCAGCTCCGCTGGCCACACACGTCCCCTAACTACTTGTGAGGGCTTGCTAAGCCCCAGCATGGGCCGGGGCTACAGCGTGCATTTCCCACAAGGCCACCCCAGCCCCAGGAGGCCAGCGTAGTGTCTCTAATTACTGACAAGGAACAGAGCACAGAGAGAGTGAGCATCGTCCAAGGTCCACCGTGGGCCACGGCAGAACCTCCATCCGAAAAGAAACCCCCTTCCTCAGGGAATTAGTCTCAGGTACAGAATATAACCAAGGCTCGGGCTTTGTATTCTCACTCTTACTTAATCCTCAAGGAAACTCCATAGCTACTGTCGCTCCAGAGGATGGGCCTAAGACTCAGAGAGGTTTCATAACACATACAAGCTCACAGCAGGTATAAAAAACACAGAGTCCAGATTTGAATGGAAATTGTCAGATGTTGGAGGTTCCTTCCTCCGCACCACAAGTCAGTTTCAAATCAACTATTTCCACAGAAAACTTGTATCATGAAGACATCTAGAGTGTGAATCTCTGGGGGTGTAGTTGGGGGAGATTCCCCTCATCTATGTTGTCTTCCCTCTGGGAGGACTGAAACCCTAACTACAGAAGACTCCCTTGTCCGTGGTTTCAAACATGGTCTGAAAATAGTAGGAAACAGAAAATTCTAGCCTGAAGGTGCAGCTCAGTGGTAGAGCACTTGCCTAGCATGTACCAGGTCCTGATTTCTACCCCAGCACTGAAAAAAAAAGACTGAATGAAAGAAAATTCCAGAAACGATTCATAAGTTTTCAATTGTGTGCCATTCCAGGTTTTGTGTTGAAATCCCACACAACCCTGCTCCTCATCTCACCCTGGACGTGAGTCATTCCTCTATCCAGTGGATCCATACTGTCCTGTGCATGTGTACAGTATAGGCCAATAGCCTTTGGGGGGCTTGGTATTATCCACAGTTTCAGGCATCTACTGGGGATCTTTGAGGGTGTCCCCGTGGATAAAGGGGACTACACTGAACTGACCCACACTCTCAGAGGCCCTGAGGCATAACCAGGAGGCTGGTCAGATTCAAAAGTGCAGTCACCATGTAGCCCCGACACCACCCACCATCCCCCTATGACCATCCAAACTCCTGACACCCGCATCTTTGACTAGAGGGGCAGCAAATAGATTCTGTCTCAAGTGTCCACTCCCATGGATTACTGGTGCCTGTCTGGAAGGCTGGGCAAAGAAGAACTGGGTTTCTTCAGTGTGGGCCGTGAGTGTCACAGCAGGTTTCTGGCACAAGGAGACAGACTAGAAACTGGGAAGGGGTCTCCTGTCTTCGCTTGGGGACCTGTGTGGCAGGTACAGGGCCACAAGGCCAATCGGCAACTTGCCAGGCAGGCCGGACTTCTATCCTGAGCTTTGGGAATCAGAGACGCCTGCTGTATCCATGTTCAGACCAGAGGGAAAGGAAACAGGGACGTGGTAGCAGACATCAGGAACAGGCAAAGAAGAAAGGACGGCTTTGCACACAGCAGCCTCAGCTCCCCAGTCCTCCCAGCTCCCTGCTGCTCTCCACGAGGCAGGCCAGTCCCTCGGGATGGATGACTGACCTCCCTGGGTACACTGACTCGGTTGGGACAGGCCTGACTTCCTTCCTAGAGAACACTCTGAGCTTTCTCTCTGGAAGAACACACCCAAGGTGACAGGGGAGACGGTCCAATGCCCGACTATGAACATGACCTCGCGGGTCTTGGAGAGGTCAGAAATCAACAGGAAATCCTGTGACTGTGGGCCTGGAATGTCCCCCTCCCAGGACCCAGAAATGAAACCAAATTAAGGATTCAAGTCCAGCCCCAGTCTTTTGGATCCTGCCTTAAAACCCAGACTTCTGGACTCTGACCAAGAGAGCTCACAGCTCATCTTCCACTTGCCCTCCAAGACCCCTTGCAGACCCCAGGTCTCTGCTGCAGGTGCTGGCCTTGGGGACAGCCCCTCCCTCTCTGGCTTCCAGCTGAGCTGGTCCAACTCCCATGTCCAGTAGCTGCTGGATGGCTGTGCCCCTACGCAGCAGCAATTGTCCCTCCTTACCTAGCTAGCTCCTCCACTAGGCCACTCGACTGTCATGTGTCGAGGGCCCTAAACAGCAGCCTGATCATGCCCCTGTTCTTCTACCTTTTGCTTCATCTTCAAGTTGACACCCAGAAGCCAGCCCCTAACCAGAGGGGCTGGCCCTTCACTGGTCTGTGCCTAGTTCCCCGGCTGAGTCCCTGAGTTTCTCCACTTGAGGATTTGCCCCCTTCCCTTGCACAGACTCCTGCACAACCCACTCCTCCTAAACCCACTCATGCCCCAGCCCAAGTCTTGGGCACTAGAAACCCCACGGGGCGCTCTGGGAGTTTTCATGGCTACATCCTCATGCCACCCTGAGAACACAGAACATTCTAGCCCACTGCAAAGACACCTGAATGAGCCCAGACCACTGACGCTCAGCACCACCAGGAAAAAAAAAAAGTGTGAGCTTTCCCCACAGGGGAGGAAGAGAGGAACTGTGTGTGCAACACAGACAGGGGCTCGCAGCGGCTCACCACCCAACTCCAGTCCCGACAGGCCCAGCCACCTGTTGCTGCACCTGAAAGAATTGACCAGAGCAACAGTGGCTGCATGGTGGCACTGGAGGAAAGAAAGACTGGCACCAGCATGTCAAGCACAGAGGCCAGGGCTGGGCAGGCAAAGTGCTGGATAAAGGGACTGTTGTTTTCCAACAACTCGAAGCGTTCCAGAGTCCCTCCAATGGGGCCAGTTCCGGGGGGCAGGCCTGCAGGCTGCCTGCAAGAGGGCAGAAGGTCAGAGACACAGACATTCCACGCCCTCTTCTGCACATTCCACCCAAGAACAGGGAGCACAAAGTCTGCCCAGCTGTCCTCCAAGGAGACACGGCCACCCCACCCCCAGCCACACAACACACAGCACACTGCCAGGGGAACAAACCCCAGAGATGGGGGAGTGAACACCCTTCCCAACCCTCCCCTGCACACCCCAACTCTTTCATTCTGTACAGATGACACAGCCAAATTTGGTGTTTGTTTGTTTGTTTGTTTTGCAGTATTGAGGCTTAAGCCTAGGGACACTCTACCACTGAGCTCCTCCCCAGTCCTTTTTACTTTTATCTGGAGACAGTCTCCCTCAGTTGCCTTGGCTGGCCTTGAACTTGCCATCCTCCTGCCTCAGTCTTCTGAGTAGCTGGGATTACAGGTATGCACCATCATCCCCAGCCAACACAAGCCAAATTGCCACAAGATGTCCCTGAGTTTGACAGTGTTTGACTGCAATGAATGAGGTGACGGGAACCTTCTCTGCAGGCCCTTGAGAGCAGAGGTTGCTAATTCCAAATAAGGAGATTGAAACAGAGAGTGGGTCACACCTGTGGCCTGCTGAGGGTCACACAAAATTGGACTCAGGTCTCCTCCTGTCCCTTTCCAGACCTTGTTTTTTTACTCAACCCCCAACCTTCCTCTCTGCCAGCCTCCCATCAATCAGAGCCTAAAAGATAGTGAGAAGCCCTGGGGAGAGAAAGGGACTAGCCACAACAGGTCTGGTCACAATGAGCCAGGGTTACTGAGGCCACATCATCCTGGTTATCAGTCAGCCCTGTGGCTTGTCCTCTACAGCCAGGCTGCAACCTGCCTCAGATGCTCCCAGCGGCAAAGTGCTCTCTGAACCCAACTTCTTCATCTGTGAAATGGAAAGCTTTATCCAAGGCTTGCTGGGAGGGTTCAGTGAAGTGATGCCCACGGCAGTGAGTGGCACTTCTTCCCTCTTCCAGCTAAGTCTTTACTGAGCACCTGTGCTGTCCCAGGAATTATTCAGGTGCTGGGGGAAGGGAATCCCACTGCAGCACAGCCTCAGAAGGTCCCAGAGCCCGCGGCTTCCAACCCCGCAGCACTGCTGGCCCTTCTCCCAGCCCTTCCCCCATGGGGCCGGGCCGGTCAGAGACCAAGTCAGGGGTCACCGGGCTGCACACAGTAAACAGGAATTTACACAAAGTCAGCACCACTTACCCTCTGCCATGGGGATGCTTGCCTTACACGTGACACAGGAACATTACAAATGTTTGTGCTTGCTATACACGTGACACAGGAACATTACAAATCCACATGAAACCTGTCGCAAATTACTGAGCTTTTTCTGCAACTCTGCCACCTTCGTTTCCTATCATCAAGTACATTTTTTAAAAAAAAATATATATTTTTTTCAGCTGTAGTTGGACACAATACCTTTATGTTATTTATTTATTTTTATGTGGTGCTGAGGATCGAACCCAGGACCTCACAAGTGCTAGGCGAGCGCTCTACCAAGGAGCCAGAACCCTAGCCCCTCATCAAGTACATTTTAAGTATGTCACACCGAGAGCAGGGAACCGGCCAAAGGCATGAGGGAAATCCCAAAGAAACGTGTGTGGAGGTGTAGAACCTTCTTGAGACCTGATTTTCATTACGGGCCCAGGTCGCTCCTTACACCTTGGCCATGTTATTGTGTTGCATTCATGTTGTAAAAATTACTCTCCAGCATGAGCTTTGGGCCATCAATGCCCTGGCCATCCACAGGTCTGGTACCACAGATCTCACCAAGTACACTCAGGGTCAAAAGCTGACCTGCTCAGCCATGCTCAGGTGAGTTACTTGGTTTCCTGAACCTCAGGTTACCTACCTGAGAGGAGGGCTCACCGGTTCCTCATCCCGGCCCCTGATGGGGCTGCAGCTGTGAGCCCAGCCTGTGGCAGGCACTTCACAGATGCTTGATCTGCAGGCTGTGAGTCCTCCTTCCCACCTGATACCTTCCCCCTTCCCTCCCTCTTCAAGCCTGGAAGACAGCTCTAAGGGCTCGGTCCTCTATCTCCCTCTGTCAAAGCCTTCCTTGGTCATGGGCAGGCAAGGAGCTCAGAGTGGCTCTCTTCTCACTGGTTAGCATTTAGCTGGACACCTTTCCTCGCTAGGGGCTGCAGGCTTCCCTGTGTCTGTGACTGCAGCTCCCCGGCTCCCCAGCCCCTCCTCTCCATCTCAGCCTCCTTTCCTACAATTCCTCTCTACCTCCTCCTCTGAGGACCCCCGCCCCCGTCACTTTGATGCCAATGACTCCAAGTACCCGTTCCAGTCTGAAAGCAACAACGCGCAGTGACATAGGGCAACTGATTTCTAACACACACCCTCCATGCGCACTGCCCCCCAAAAGTGATCACAAATGACATCAAACCCAGTCTCACGGAGTGGCACCCGCCTGCCCTGTGGTCAATCCCAGCCCTGTACCTGAGCCCTGGGGAGCAAGGCCCATGGCCAGCCGTCGGAAGGCCCAGGCGGGGTTTCCGAGACAAGGCCAGCGGCTGCAGTTTTCCTGCCATTGTCCTCGGCGACCCCGCCCAGCCTCTCGCCACCTACCCTGGGGTAGCTGATGGCGGGCTCTGCCGGTGCTGGCGCCTCCTGTACAGCCCCGACGCGGCGAGCGCGCCTAGCCGGGCAGCCATGACTTGGGGCCACCGCCTAATCGTCGTGGACGCAGGCGACCTGGCGGATGTGGCGTCGGACCACCGGCCTGGGAGCGAAGACGCGGCGGGCGGGCGCAGCCACCTCCGCCAGGCACCGCGACGGGACGGGCGTGCGGCGCCTCCCCCGCGGGACAGGAGCTCTGGTTACACGCTGGGATCTCCAAAGGGCAGCAGAGTCAACTCCAAATAGAAAGGATATTGTTCGCGCACCGCGGAGGCAGCTCGGTGAAAGCTGAGGCTGGCTGGGTTGGGTCCCAGCTGGGGAGGGGACTGGGTTGGGAAGGTCCCAAACCAGCATTGAGGTGAGAATGAGAGGGTATCCAGCAGGTCTCAGGCTGCCACCGGCACAGGAAGGACCCCTGAGCCCCCTGAACCTGCTGAGGTGGGCAGTGTGAGACTGGGCCAGTTCCAGAATCCAGGAAACAGTTAAGAAACTAATGAGGGAGTGATACTTGCTCTCTCCCTGGCTCCCATCCCTGAGATCCTCCAGCCACCAATGCCACTTAGGACACCTAGATGAGAGCAGTCAGGTAGGTCCTCTAAAACCCCACCAACAAACAGCCAGGCATTCCAAAAGAAGTTCACACCCTAAAAATTTAGAGGAAAGGCAGTCCCCTGGCTTGCCAGAAGAGCAGAAGCAGAAGATTTTTTACCTGTAGAGATTGCTGGGATTACTTGCCATCCAAGTCAAAGCATCCAAGTTCAGTGCTAGGGCTGTGGCCACTTCTGGGCAAGCAGTCACTGTGATCCACAATAAAATAAAGATCCAGAGAACTCACAGAAAAATTTTAACACTGATTCCACTTCCTTGAAGACCCTTTCTAGTAAGTTCAGACAGCACGTATAGAATTTTCCTCCTTCTTCCCCAAGAAAGAGACGGCAGCCAATATTCCAGACAGCGGATGGCTTGAACTGGGGTGAGAGAAAAGTTTGAAGGGTCCCTGTTGCCACCCAGATGCCACTCACACCACAAGGAACACACATCACCTCCGAACATGGGGAAGTACTCATTAACCACTCTGGGGTCAACCTCAAAATACAGTCAGCTGACCTCAAGCATTGGGTGCAATATCATTTATAAACGCGCTCCAATTCCAAAGTTACCCAATGCTGATCAATTCAACAAATATTTTTTAAAGGTGCCTGGGGCTAAAGGGCATATAGAAGCTGACTTTGGAGGAACCAAAGAGCCATGCTCTGCTGTGACCAGTCAAGGACTTAGGAAGTTTAGGCAGAAAGTTTTGTTAGAGCAGCTTCAAGTCAGTGCCCAGGTCTTGGGCCTCTCTTACCACCCTGGCTCAGTCCTTCCAATGCAGAAATCCTGAACACTAGATCCCAGAACTCTAGCCCAGAGCCACCATTTTATTTAAGGAAGGAACACTTATTTGAGGGCCCCTAGGGCCACACACAGACCCAGGAGGGAAGCTGCCATAGTTTGAGTCTGAAATGTCCCTTGAAGGACATATTAAAGGCTTTGTTCCTAGTCCATGGTGCTATTAAGAGATGGTGGACCCTTTAAGAGGTGTGCCTTTAAAGAGGACAGTTAGACTTCAACCCTTCCTATTTCTTTTTTTTTTTTTTTTTTGCATTTTGACCATGATTTTTGCTCTATAAGTACTCTTGCCATGATGTACCATCACGGGCCCAAAGCCATAGGGTCCAGTTAGTCATGGACTAGGAACTCTGAAACCATGAGTTAAAATAAACCTTTTCTCTTTATAAGTTGATTATCTTGGGTGTTTGTTAGAGTAACAGAAAGCTGACTAACACAGAAGCTATAACCCATACGTGTTTTGTACAATCTAATATGTAAATGAAGTTCAAGTACAAGGTTACCAAGTATTAAGCAATTAAAGAAGTACTGTAAAAGGAGACAGAAAAAGTTAGCAATTGGGAGAGGCTTTAGAGTCTGACTGACCCCAAATCTCCGATCTTTGCATAGCCTTGCACCCTCTGTAGCTGGTCCACTGCAGATATAGGGGTAGATGCCATTCTGGGCTACCCAGCCAAGACTCTGGTCCCAGAGGACACAGTTGCAAAAATGCAATAAGAGTGACAGAGCAAAAAATGGCAGACTAAGGGCCTCCAGAAGTTTATCCTTCTATAAAAACAATGAAAAAACTCACAAAAAATGGTCAGAATCTACTTTTTCAGAGCCCTGCAAATTAACTAAAGGCTTGTAAAAACCCTGAGGCATCTAGTCAAGAAAAGGAGATGTTGGTGGCAGGGTGGCACACACCTGTAAGCTCAGCAGTTTGGAAGGCTGAGGCAGGAGCATCGCAGGTTCAAAGCCAGCCTCAGCAATTCAGTGAGGCCCTAAACAACTTAGAGAGACCCTGTCTCAAAATTAAAAGCACTGGGGATGTGACTCAGTGGTTAATGCCCTTTGGTCCAATCCCTGGTACCAAAAGAAAAGAAAAGAAAGTAAAGCAGATGACTCTTAGTTAAGAAGAATAAGTTCTGTGATATTTTAACTCACCTTAGTTCCTTCTTATCATGCTCCCTAACTGCATGGTGGCCTTGAAAAAAAAAGCCTTATTAATAAGGAGAGAGCAGAACAGAATACTACGAACAATGTATCAACAATATACCAATTTGCTGAAGTAGCCAAATTTCTAGAAGGACAGAAAGTATCAAAACTGACTCAAGAAGAATTAGAAAATCCAAATATACCTGTAACAAGCCAAGAGACTGAATTATTAATCAAAAAACTTCCCACAAAGAAAAGCATAGGAACAGATGGATTCTCTGGAGATATATATATATATATATATATTTTTTTTTTCAAAATACATGATGTAATCCTCTTCACTTTTGTCTTTAATAACTCCCCCTTGCTGGGTGCAGTGCTGCCCACCTATAATCCCAGTGGCTCAGGAGGCTGAGGCAGGAGGATTGCAAGTTCAAAGCCAGCCTCAGCGATTTAGTGAGGCCCTAAGCAATTCAGTGAGACCCTGTCTCTAAGTAAATATTTTTAAAAAGAGGCTGGGGATGTAGCTCAGTGGTTAAGTGCCCCTGGCTTCAATCTCCAGTACCAAAACAAACAAATAAAAACTCCCCCTTGCCTCAACATTCTTTAATGTGCACATAGTTCACTATGGCATGCATATTCCCACTGCAATGCTCTGTTATTCCCAAATAAATGCCATTGTTCTTTGGAAGAATCTCTCTCTGATAATTTTTTTAGGTTGATATAAATATATGAAGTGGTACACATCTGTACTCCCATCTGCTCCAGAGGCTGAGGCAGGAGGATCGCAAGTTTGAAACCTATCTCTAAATAAAAAATGAAAATAAAAAGGGCTAGCTATAGCCCAATGATAAAGTGCCCCTGGGTTCAATTCCCAGTATTGAAAAAGAAAAGAAAAAAGATAGAGCAGAGAGCGAAGGATTCTCATAGACATTTCTCCAAAGAAGATATATTAGTGCCCCATAAACACAAGAAAATATGTTCAACATCTTTTAATCATTAGGGAATGAAAATTAAAACCACAATGTGAAACACTTCATTACCACCAAACCAGACAATAAGTGTTAAGGAAGATGTTGAGAAACTGGAACCCTCATACATGCCTGGTGTAAAACTGTGTAAATATAAGTACAAAACTATGCAGTTAACTCAGAAAATAGCTTGACAATTTCTCAAAAGCTTTAACATAGGGTTACCATATAACCCAGAAATTCCAATCCTGGGTATATGCACAGGAAACGAGCAAGTTTCTAAAAAAGAAAGAAAGGAGAAAGAAAAGACATGTTCATACAAAAACTTTTATAAGAATGTTACAGCAGCTGGGTACTATGACTCAAGCCTGTAATCCCAGAGACTCAGGAGGCTGAGGCAGGAAGACTGCAAGTTTGCTACCAACCTCAATAACTTAGTAAGATCCTGTCTCAAAATAACATAGAAGAATATATTTGAGTGGCAGAGCACCCTGGGTTCAATCCACAGTACCACAAGGGGGAAAAAAGGACTCATGGCAGCATTATTCATAATAGCCCCAAATGGAAACAATTCTAATGTCCACCATCGATGAATGGATAAAAAAAAATATGGTACACCCATACAATGGAATATCATTCAGTTAAAAAAGGAATGAAGTCTGACTCATGCTACAACATAGATGGACCTTGGAAACATGCTAAATTGAAAAAAAAAATGAGGTTAAAAAAGGCTCTATAATATATTGTTCTATTTCTATGAAATATCTAGAATAGGCAAATCTGTAGATTAGCATACAGCAAGTTAGCATATTAGCAGGTTCCAGGGGATAGGAGAGGGTAGGTTGACAGCCAGGGGATGCATGGTTTCTTTTGAGGAAGATTTAAATGTTCTGGTGTAGCGAGGGGACAGCCAATCCCTCTGGATGTTATAAAGATGTCACTGTCACAACTTCACTCTTTACTTAAACCCTGGCTGCATCACAACCCCATGGGCTATCCAGAGGGCTCTGGCTGCCCGCTAGCTACACCTTGGCCAACTCCTTCTCCAAGGGAGTCATTGGGCATACCCCTTGCCCATTAGGGTGCAGGAAACATTGTAAGATGTAAGGGGACAGATCACACTCTGCACTGTGCCGAGCACGGAGCTAAGCATGCAATCGGGCACATGGAGGCCTTAGAGTGATGTTCACCTGAGAGCGGTGACCCACTCTGCAGGGGCAAAGCCACTGAGTATAGACTGTAGAGGGTGCCACCTTGAGGGCTTCATTTTGAGGAATGCCTGGGATGGCCGGGCCTCTGGGCAGGTGACCCTCCTATCTCCACCCTCTGGAACAGTGAAGATGTCAAAGCTTCCTTGACCTGTGACAAAGAGCCTGGGTACCATGTATGAGTATGTCACAATGAATCCCACAATTAGGTATAATTATAATGCACTGATTGAAAACTAGAAATAGGGGCTGGGATTGTGGCTCAGCGGTAGAGCGCTCGCCTAGCACAGGCGGGTCCCGGGTTCAATTCTCAGCACCTCACAAAAATAAAGGCATTGTGTTGGGTCCACCTACACCAAAAAACAAACAAACAAACAAACAAAAAACCTAGAAATAAATATCTAGATGACTTAAAAAGAGAGAGAGAGAGAGAGAGAGAGAGAATCTGGGTTTTAAGTTCCAAAGTCACTGTGTTGCAGGCTGAGCTAAGTCTCTTTCTTGTCTGGTACAACCTCTCCCTCAGTAGCCACACCATATTCCATGCCTCACTGACCCTTCTCCCCCTAGCTCAGCTCTGCCTCCCCTGCTGTATTCCCTCTGCCACCCAAGAGGGGCCTCCATGATTGCTGGCCTCTCAACCATCCACTGCCTCATCTCTACCTCGGCAAAGTACCCATGGGTGTATCTGCATAGGGCAGTTCCTCGAATGTCACTCCAGATCACTTTGGAAGCTCTACACTGCCCCCACTCTGCTCTTGCCTGCTGTGATTCTGGGGCAGGTATGGGAGCAGAGGAGGCATTTCCAAAAGGCAACCTGGCTCTAAGCAGCACCAGGGTAGTGAGTGAGGTCCCCAGGATCCGGCATGAGGAACTGCCCCAGCATCATGCCAGGGAAATGGACATGGAGGGACACCGTGGCATGAAACGGTGCAAATAAACCTTCACAGCTTCTGGAACAGGAAGAATTCTCGCCCACTCCCAAGACTGAGCCTCATGTCCATTCCTCAGCAGCTGGCCTGGCCAGAAGCCCTGTGTGTGGAAGGGCAGGAAGCCAGTTCTAGCACAACACTGCAGGCAGAAGGGCAGGCTTCAAAGAAAGATGTCAACTTATGCTTTTGGACGGTTCACAGCTGTGTAGAACAAATGAGCGGGAGAAATACTAAGAAAAAAAAAAGACCTGGATAAAGTCACCAAAAGCGTCCGTGAAGGGTAACTCTGAGGAATAACCATGGATGTTTTCTTCTTTCGTTTTGTATCTGTTATCTTCCATTTTTCTGGGATTTTCCTAATTCTCTAAGATGAGCAGTATTACTTTGACCAATAAAGGTGTTTGTTCACCATTCCTGTGTAATTTGATAACCAGTATTTCTCCTGGACCCCTGCAGCAGGAGGACTGCTGACCACACCCTGTCTTCCTGGGTTCCCGCTGGCTGTGGATGGCTGACCTGACAGTGTCCATCTCCAAGGAGGGCCAAGAGACACAGGCTTAAGGGGACACCTGCCTGGGAAATAAAGGTACCTCTGGTCCCCACTCTGGCCTTACTTCTTCCTGAGTGAGAAAGGTCATCTGGCCTTTTATTAGGATCTTTCCAGTTGGAGAGGTAGGTGACCTCTTATGCACCCCAGCCACGCCTGCCTCCACATTG